TTAAACTTCACTATACAAGGTTGAGAAATGAGTGGAAAGGTTGCATGGTTGAGAAGTGGTCTTTAAAAATTTCACGAACAATCTAATTTATTTGGAATGACGAGATTTATTTCCTTTATCAGAAGCATGTTATAGTTTCGTGGGGCCCAGAAGAATTTGAATTAGGAGTCCCATACACAGTGTTGACTTCAGGCATTTTTCTTTGGAGGAAATTTTTAGGCAATTTATTTTTCTTTAAATTAAACGATAACATTTAATTTATTCTTTGGATATTGTGTTATTAATGATATCTAGAACCTAACAATTTCATAAACATTTAATAAACAACTTTTTCATTACTAAAATACTGTAAATTGCATCTTAAAAACGAACAGATTCGTTAGTCACTCTATTGTGAAATGCTTTTTATGATTTCAGTTCAATGATTAAGAAGGAAAATACAGAGTATGGCCCAAAAATCGATTAACCACTGCTGTCTTGTTCAAATTCTTTATTAGACTTATCAATAAACTGATGGTGTTTCTACGAATTTTGTGAAAGAAAAACACGTTGTCATAAACTCGCTTTATTCATATTCACAAATGCATCTGGGTTGGCACACAAAGCAGAATGTGACTTTTGGGCCCATCCTGTATATTGCAGGTATATTAAATTTAAAAATTTAGTCTATATTGGAATTTATAAAATATTCTAAATGCATAAATACGAGGTGTCAAAAATGAATCGAATTTTTGGAATAGATTTTATTATACAATACCACATCAGCATCAAAGTAGTCTTTTCTTGTAGCTATACATTTTACCTGCATCCAAACCACATCTTTTAAACTCTTTCCGCCCAATGAGCACTATTTTAGCAAGCCCATTATGGATTCGCCACGCCCACAATGCGGCGGCCGAAAAATTCCTGGGATTTTTAGACCGTAAGGATTCGAATCCGGATTCACCAGAACGCTAGGCTACCATTTTGTCACCTTAATTGCTCATCCTTCATCCAGATCACTCTGTGACGTCATTACGAGCTCACGTCACTGAAATTTCTACCTCTGTTGAGGATTAGAATCTTCAACCTTTAACTTTTCTTCCATTTTAGAACAGGTAAAAATTTTCGGGGGCAAGATAAAGGGGTAAAAGGGGCTGAGAAAGCCCTTCGTCAGCAACAACCGATGAAAATCGAATGTGGAAGCTGCAATGGTTCTTACAGACATTATAAAAATGACTTTCAGGACTCATTTGGCAAGTAGCAGAAACCCTGTAGCTATAGTAAGAGCCCATTTTAAAAGTGGTGTAATGTAAGAGTTTCCACATTACACCAGATTTTAACAAAGCGTCAAATGTTCACTCCATACTTTAAAATTGGATTATATTGTTATGTAATAAAATACTGTATATTGGACCAAATCACCCTGCTGGTATCCTAAAAGAATAGGTGATAGGACCTTAATAATAACCTTATATATTCACTTTATATACAAGTCGACTCTATATTAATAAGATTGTTGATTTTTCCGTTTTATCTGAATTACATGTTGTACGAGTCACTTAGATTTTACAAATATGTGAGCCGTTCACAGCCCGGCACACGTATTTGTAAAATCTAAGTGACTCGTACAACATGGAATTCATATAAAACGGAAAAATCAACACTCTTATAGGGGGGTCGACTTACATTTATATATTATGCATTACACGGTTTAAAGCACTCATTCTACATCACAAGACCGTTGTGACGTCAGGTTCTGGCCTTCAGTTGATTTGTTGTCCCTAGCTTTCTCAATATATAGATGGGGCCATGACTAATATGTTATAGCTTAGGGTTTTAGATTACTAAAGTAATTACTTTAGTAATCTAAAATCTAAAATTGCGTTAAAGCCTAATTTAGATAAATGTTTATTAAATATTCAGACCATTCGAGCAAAAATGAATAGACGAATGACAAAACATTAATGATAAGTATGTGTTTGTTTTCACTTCAAAATTAATGCAACGATCATTCGGCCATTTAATCAAAACATTTAATAACGTAACGAACGATAAATATTTACAAATTCTTTAATTAAAAATATGTAAGTCAGTTCTTAGAAGTAAAAGACACAAAGATAATAATATAAAAAAAAAATAAACGAAATTACGAGATAAGATAGGCATGAATGAACCAGTTGTGTTCTCGACATTCCTGAAAATAGTTCATGCACAAGTTTAACATTGTGAAGAGCAGCTTCAAAAGCATGTCGATCTAAAAAAATAAAAACTTTCTCTCGAGTAGAATGCACTTTGACGTTTGAATGATGACAGCTTTTGACATGATACGTCGGCGATTGTTGTGGGGAAGGAAACATTCCACTTGAGCTATATACTCAAGGTCGACCCTCGACTATTTTCCACCCATAAATCCTAAAATATATATATTATAACTGAATTTGTGAAGCAGCGATAGATCAAGAAGAACGTTAGGATGTAAGCAATGGGCTAAATTCTAAGTCAAGAGTAATATTTCCATACAGCCCAATTAAACCACATTGGTTATAGAGTGGCCCAAAAGTGGGTCTTAAAATTCTTTGAATGGAAAAGTCATGAGTCATGTACCCTAATTGTTCTTAAAAACTTATTCATCTATTTTATGTATATGAAAACATGATCAATAAAGCTTTAAACCGTAGGCAACAGACACAATTAACTAGGAGTTTAGGACCCCAAAATGAAATTCAGCTGATTTGTTGACCCTAGCTTCTGTTTCTTGACAATATACACATCAGTAGAGTAACTAGAACCAATATTAGAGGGTCTTAATTAAAGCGTACAAACGTACTGTTAATTCAGCAATTAGTTCTGTGAATGAAGATCTTAGATCAGTGATGAGCAAATTTTTCCGAATGAGGGTGGCATACAAATTTTTTTACAGAGTTGCAGGCTTTTGGGGCCGAGTGCCAACATGCTCCATAATCGCCAATAACTTACAGTAGATACTAAAATAATATATTCTAATGAAATACAAGTTGCAAGTAATACGATGGCGCGTTCTCATATGGACAATTGCCTGGGGATACACCAACGGAGAGACCCAAACCAATCTTTTATAAGAAAATATTTCCCCGAAGTAAAACGTCTGAAGTCAACACTGTAAGTGGGGCCCATAATTCGCCTGGGCCTCGTGAAGTTATAACTTTTTAATTAATTAATTACAATTTAAATTTTTAAAAATATAACGTTCACAAATTCTTAGTAAGAAAACAAGACACGAGGGGGAGCAACCAGCAATAAATAAATAAAATAAGTAAATTTCTTCTTCGAATATCGCATAACGGTTCAAAAAAGTCAGTTAACCGGGTTAATTTTTTTTTTGTTTTGAATAGTTGCATTTGTTGGAAGATATTCTGAAACAATATATTTTATATATTTTTTTAATTGACTTTTGGACCACCCTGTATTTAATTTTAAAAGTTAAATGTCAATTTTCTTGGTTATATAAACAGAATAAGGTAATATAAAGTAATATTCCTTTTGTCGTTTTGATTATATAGTTCTATTAAGGTTGTATCCTGAACTTCTGTATTATACATTATATCCTCTTTTTTTTAAAGGTTATTATTTATTATTTTTTTTTCCTTTATAAAGGAAGAAGTGGAAGTCTGGCCGGAATAACAGCGCAGATAAATAAAAAAATAGAGTAATTTGGGCGCAAAACTAAATAATTTCTGGCAAAAACTTTCTAAATTGGAGTTACAATCACTCTTTCTGTCGAAAGGAAAGAAAAATCGGATCAAAACAAAACTATATTTATCGAATTTCGGAGATTTTTTATCGAAATTTCTAGTAATCGATCTGATCAAACAAAACCGGAAGAGGTAGAAAATTAAATAAATAAATAAATTTTTCTTTCAGTTACAAATATATATACAGTATATATATATAGCCTATATTAAATAATTTTAAATCATTTTATAAAATATTTATTAATATGCTTTACAGTTTTATAAATTACATTAATATAAATTAATAGTTAAAAAAAATTAATACAGTATAATTAAAAAAAATACACAGTTTCCCAAAAGTCAGTAATCAAAATATGCGTTTATTTTTTTGTTAATTGATTTTTGGTCATCTTGCAATTATTAACATATAAATTATATCTCATTTTACTATTTTTTATGTATATTTTAAACGTATAGTTTATATGTTTATACACTGATATACTATAAAAATAATTTATGTATTATGACAATGACCACTTGGACTAGTAGCTCTAAGTTAAGACACTTAAGAGAGGCCCTTCCTTCACTAAATTATAATAAATTTAAAAAATATGAGACCTTAAACTATATGGAATGGAGGCCCTAAACTGTAGTTCGTTCAGCTTGTTAAATAGCTTGTAAATTAGACTACAGTTATAGCACTCGCATTATTTATGTGATTAAGAATTATATGAATAGTGTGAGTGTGATTAAATAAATTCTAAACGGCGTGTGATTAAATAAATTCTAAACGGCGTGAATGTGAGTGTACAGTACAGTACATGTGATTAAGTAAAACAAAAACAGTGTGAGTGTATTTACATAAATTATAGGCAGTTTGAACATGATTGCATAAGTTATAACCGGTGTGAGTGCGATTGAATTAACTGTAAGTGGCGTGAATAAGGTATAAAAAGTGTGAGTAATAAGCTAAAAGTGTGAGGATGAGTGTTATTAAACGATCGAAAAAGAAAATACCCGATTAAATCACAATATAACGAACAATTCAGCAAATTCTTTCACTCTTGTTTTCGATCATGTTGATTAAAAATACATAAAAAAGAAGTATAAATTAAATAAATATTTAATAAATTAATAGAGGAGATAAGCGTGTCAAAAACAAATTAATTAATTATTATTTAAAGATGAATTCGATGTTGCGTTACGGAGGAGGGGGGAAAAGTCTTTAATGTCAGTCACGCGAGCACCCAATCATCTGTCAATGGTTTTGCTAGGTTTAAGTTTCAGGAAACGTGTGAAGAAGAATCCAGCCATTCAGTGAAAATATAAAAAGTGAAGTTAATAGCACCACCTACAAATATTACTTGCCATTCTTTGGATGCAGTCAGCATGGATGGGACGTGGCTGCATACTGTGATAATAGCTACTGTATTACAGATAAGTGAGTACTACTTACTTGTAAATTATTTTGATTTAATTTCATTATTTTATATTAACCAAAAAGTCATAAATTGTATTTTTATTACTTATAAAATGAGAAATTAATAAGACCGCTGCGAGTAACTTCACAAAAATTCAATATTTTTTATGCATAAATGGCTATTTTTGTACTGTATTTCTGTAGGAGGGGGTGTAAGCTACAATATATGAGGCCCTTTCCCTGCACCAACTATAAATAAATTTAGAAGTAAGAGGCCCTGAACTGTAACCTCGTAGAGTGAGGCCCTAAGCTGTAGTTGCTTAACTTGACGTATAATAATGCCCAGGTTCATTTGTCATAGGAAATGCAGGCGGATATAATAGAAAATAAAACATTTCTAAGATTATTCTTGGAATTATAGACTATAAAATCCATTTAAATTCATTGTATTATCGAACATTTTATTAATACAAAAGGATTTTTCACGTAACGGGGTGGTCCAGAAGTCGGTTAACCGTTGCAAATACTTAAAGTTTCGTATTAAAAAATAAGGCAAGCACGTAGGCTGATTTAAAATGGCATAGAAATTACAATAAGATTTTTGATAAGAATATATAATTTTAAGAAGAAGATAAAGGCTAAAAGAGGTTAAACGCAACTAATTACATAACCAAGATTTTTATTATATTTTTTAGAAAGAAATTTCGAAATTTTTCGGGATTACGATACACGTATACATAGGTAAAACGAAATGGAAGGAGAATACATTGCTAAATTTACTTCTATATTCTTAAACGTAATTCATTGATGCGAGATACTTGTGTAGCGTGAAACTACGTCCGTTACAAAAGAAGGTTTCATTGTTTATTATTGTTATTATTATTTATTTCTCTACATTTTTCTTTTACTATTTTGTTTAGTGTTATTTAATATATAAACCTTGGCATTGGTGTATAAATAAATGTTCAATGCTAGAAATTAATCGAAAGCATAAGCGAGTCAACAATACAGAACGGTCCAAAAGTCAGTTAACCGTATTTAAGTGTTTTATTACTTTGAAAATGCATAAATATTAATAATTCACGCTTGCAAATTTAACTAGAAGATAAGAGGACGTAACAGTTAATCGACTTTTGGGTCACTCTTTAAAATTGGTGGAGAAAAATACTAAATTAGATAACAAAATATTGTTTTAAAAGTACTCAAGATTAGGATAAATTTCTTCATTGATTCGATACAGTTTGACGTATTTTCTCTGCTTTAAAATGAATAATAATAATAATACGATTACGTCATGCGAAAAATTAATAAAAGAAAAATGAAAAAGAAGTCGAACATTTTATATTATAAAACACCCAAACAGTAAATAATAATAAAGAATGCTACGAGAGGATTTCGACCTTCATTCGCTGTCATCAGGCATGCTAGCTCACACACTGGGTGGAGTTTAGAAGCAGACACGGTTTCTGTTAGAAGGTGGCCACCCTGTTTTTCTAAATCTATCGATCTTATCGCCTTCCCTATCGACCCAAACCATCTTTAGTAAGTTAAGTGCAAAATACTACTCGAAAATTTAAAACAAAAAATTAAAAAATATTGCTTATTTTCAGTCTGCTCGAATCGCGTACATCATCACAAGGGGTGCCTTTCAGAAAGAGGTCAGTTTCCTCACGAAGAATATTGCGACAAGTACTACGATTGCTGGAATGGAATTGCTCATACACGACAGTGTTCGGATGATTTGTTATTTAATCCCGTCACCCTGGTCTGCGATTGGCCTAGGAACGTGTTCTGTGGTGGTAGAAGATTAAGGCACATCGGTATGGATCGTTAATTTAACTTTTTTTTTTTGTATTTTTTAACCTTTGAAATCTTTGTTTAATCAATCGAGACACACATAAACAAAGATTTAGATACTCGTAACTTCTCTTAACTTTTGTATAAATAGAAATGTTACGAGTTTTAATGAAAAGTTACATCCTTAAAAGCGTTTTTCCTTGCAACGTCTTTGAATAACTTGGGTGGGATTGAAAGATACGTGTTAAACAAAAAAGAAAAAAAAAAAATAGGTGGATAATTAGTAGCAAAAAAAACAGTAAAAATGATTATTTGAATGCTGTTGAAACTTGAAGTGTTTTTAGAAGATGAAGAAGGGGAGGAAAATGATAATTACATGAAAAATTTGAAACTAACAAACACGTATATACTGTACAAAGAAAGATGTTTTTTATTATTACTACTTTTTTTTACAGGTAGCCAACTTTGTCCTCGACAATTCGGCACTTTTCTTGATCCGTACGACTGTTTTTCCTTTATCGAATGTGTTTTCGGCAAGCCCGTAAGGAAACAGTGTGCTCCTGGAACAGCATTCAACCCAACCATATCAGTATGCGATCATTTAGATCGTGTGAAATGTTACGGAAGAGATGTAGTTACGGTCGCTCCACCAACACCTCAAGGTTTAAACTTTAAACTGAGATTCTTAATTCTTATCTATATTTTAATATTTCTAAACGCGTAATCTTTTGCAGACGAATTGGCATTCCGTTGTCCTTCTGTCAGGGGGTTGTTCCCATTTTCTAGAAACTGCGCTAAGTTCTGGTTGTGTAGGAACAGTATACCGGTCCTTCTCGACTGTCCCGTTAATCAGCTGTTTGATATTGTCAAGAAATCTTGTTTGGATAAAGAGCAGGCAACGTGGTAAAGAAGATAATCCATCTATTAATTCTATTATTATTATTATTATTATTTATAGAATTTTATATTTGTCTTATTTATTTATTTATTCTTTCAGCCTCGTAGCTTAAACAATTGGAAGTATCGAGGAATCTAGTTTAATATTCTGAATAATTTATGAATAGTTAAACTTACAAACAACTCATTCCTCAAAGCGGAAATGTACGAAGTGTTTCATCAACGAAAGTTATGTCAAACGTGGAAAATTTCTAAACTACAAAGTTCGGGCGTACTTTGTAAATTTTATATTGCTAATGGATTTTGCCTTTCGTTATCTTCACTTGTTATCGACTGTTTCGTATTGTATAAGCTTATAATCTATATTCGAAAACTGTAATATAGCCCAAGCGAAGTATAATAATGTTATGAAATAAAGCTTATAAAAATTATTTTAAAAAATTTTAGAAGTCTATTTTAAAACATTAATATCGTTGCTTATTAAAAGTATAAATTTATAAAAAAAAAAAAACAATTTATATAAAAGAAAATTTCAGTTTTAAGAGCCCATCAGTTGTCGGCCGAGTAGATAACACTGGTCGTGGGTTCGCGCCTGACTAACCCCCTACGTGGGGTTTTGTGGAGTGTCTGACATCTAAATTGAGTCCAGTTTCTCATAGAAATATTCCCGAGATGCACTTCCTTCTTGGCAGATCTCTCATGTGTCGAGTTCTCTTATCCCAACAATTTTAAGAAGCGTAATATTTTATATCTGTAAATGATTAATCGATCTATAGTGTATTTATAGTCACCATTTTGAATTACTCATATATTTAAATCCTATCAAAGAGAGAAAAAAAAAGACTTAAATTAAAATACAGTATTTAATTTTAAGTCTTTAAGGATGTTCCTAAATTCAGTTAACCGTATTAAAGTAGAGGAGTTTTATTAACCTACAATTAGGACCGAATTTAGACTTTTTGTGATCCTAAGCTATAACATTTAAGGGGTCCTTTCCTATCAAGCAAATAATAATGAATTTAAAAGCTGTAGCTTGTTTAGTTAATCTTATGTGTAAATCTGTCCGTAATTGTAATTCCTATTAACTAAATTTAAATATAAACTGTTCCAAAGGAGATCTTGTGTGTTCAATAAACAATTTACAGCACTTAGGCTATATATTACTGCGAATTTTTAGTTACTTCATTTGATATGGCTAATAGTCCTGTTGGAATACCTGCTTTAATAGTCCTAATTGGCTGCTTCATAGTCCTGGTTAATAGTCCTGGTTAACCAGGACTGGTAATCAGGACTCGAATCTGATCGAAATTATTTATTGAAAAAAAATCACACGTCAATTGTTCTTCAGAAAAGGAATTTTTCTTCTTAAAAGTCAACGTATTTAAATCATAAACCGTAATTTTCAACAGAATTTTCTAAATGACAATTACACAAATCCATTTAATCGAAAATAATAATCAGGCCTTTACCGGGATATAAGCTTTAGATTTAACGTTAATTACAATTAATATTATTCCAAGTAGGCTTACGCCGAATATAAAACTAACTTTAAAACATTGCGAAGTTGTTTCTCGTGCCAATTTACATCATAATTTATTCTATTAAGTAGATATTTTAGCTCCCATTAACCATAAACCGATTCGGCGAGGTCGAAGCTTTGATTTCGGTTGCATTTACATAAATAATTGCAACCAATTTTCTCGAAATTTAAATTTTCTTTCGCCTCGAGCCATATTGTAATGAGTATTAAAGTAAACAGTCGAAAATTTTCCAACAAATCTTATCATTTCTAGCATTAATCAAAAGCCGCTAATGATTCGAAAAGATAAGCAATTAAAGAAAATTCATTGCTAATTATTCATTAAAATCCAATTAACGTTTACGTTTCGGATGAAATTTATTTATTTATCTTTTTTTATTTTTTCTTCTGTCGCCCCCTTTTCAAATTTTAAAATATCAAACGGCCGGCCACTCCTATTGGTCGTTGGCAAACGGGGCGTGTTCGAATGGACCAATGGCAGCGACAAAGATGGAGTAGTAATGGCCTGCGGTTATCAGCCGAAAATCCTTTACCAAATGAAGAAACAATTGAACGTCATGAGTCATTTAAATTATTTAAATAAAATTATTTCGCGGAATTAAAACTACGATAAAAATTATAAACGTAAATATAATTGGAGAGAATTTACAGTTTAAATAAAAGAAGTACACGTGCCCCTTTTTACCTACTGGCAAAATTTTGATAGGAACTTAATCAATTCCCTTAAAGAACGGGCAACTACAAAAGGATTTTTTTTTTTTTATATATTTTAAGAATCATACACGTATATATATATATATATATATACATTTTTTCTAAGATTCTCGGTTAACAATCGTAAGTTATTTGGTTAATTTAGTCGGAGATAGAAAGACCCATTCAAAGTAACGATTGGAAGTTGGCTTTGTGACGATGCAAAGCTGTAGAAAATGGTCGCCTGCGGGTTCGTCCGTGCTCCTACAGACTCTTTTGCTCCGCATCCTGGTTACTTGACCAGATACTCCAGTCAAGTCTCGTACGTGACACTCTAGTCATATACCATGGGAATCGTGGCCGCCGCAAGACACTCGACTCCAAATAATATACAATGGCTGATTGGATGAGTAGAGATGCATCGTTTCTTCCTTTAAATATATTCATTCGCTATATAGCGAGAATGCTAATCTCGGGACTGTAAGATCTCGGAAAATAGCCCCCTCTTCTGTTCAAATGACGTTCCTATTGTGCAAAACGAAGACAGTTAATTTGCCTATTTCGTAAACTTTAGTGATAATTTTCTTTCTTAAATCGCTTCAGTTACCTTTGACGAATGTAATTCTTATGTAATTTTCTAATGCTCATTCGTATCTATCTCTTTGTCGTCGTAACAGTACAATTATTTCATAATTCTGCCTTCAAAAAATAAGTTTTTACACTCGAATTTAAGGGTTTGTTAAGTTTTTCGATTAGTTTTGCGCAGAAATAGGGCCTTAATTTATTACCTAGGTAAACTAAACCGCTGTAAATGGGATTTATTTTAGTAGTTTTACTATATCCTATAGGTAATTAAGAAACGGAAATTAACCATTAAAATAATAATAATATAATACAGTTGTACAATAATTGCCCTTAAAGCAGGGAAGACAAACGGCGAAACAAATAAATGTTTATAAATAGGACTAAATCTTATTTATAAACAAGCTCTACGTGGACAATATAAAAACAAAGACGAAATATTAAAGACATAGACGCACGAAGAATTAATAAACGGCTATAATTTATTAATTCTTTTATACTTCCTTACTATATAACGATATATATTTAACTTCTGTCACAATAATAAGACAGAAAAGGAGGAAAAGGCCTCTTGTAAACTATAGTCTAGGGCCCTACTTAAAAAAAAGATTGAGATTTAATAGATCATTATTCTAAACAGTAATATTTGAAAATCATTATAAAGAACGAATCATTACCGAAAAATAAACAATTAAGAATTGAATAGGGTAGCATCATTCATTAAATCAACTGTTTAATTTCACAAGCGAAGTACTTATAGTTGGAGATGGACAATACCTAACCCGTATAAACAGCCAATTATAGAGTCCCCCAGCAGTTGGAGTGCATCTGTCACTCTGCATGCAAATGCCATTTCCAATCTCTCTTCACCCGCAGAGAACTGTCGCGTCTTAATGAGCTCAACCATTGAGTTTCCCCAGCAGGAACTGAAGTGTTCCGAATATAAGGTCTTTTGTCGATTTTTGTGTCTTGTTAAGTAATTAGCATAATTCCGACTCAAATAATTGTTATCGTTGAAGGAATACAGATTTTTCCATCTCATACTGCACCCGCCTGTTCGGGAAATTTTGATTAAAGCTGTCAAATTGATTCTAAAATTACATAAATCTGCTTTACGTAATCCCAAAATTGGGAAAGTATTATATAAATACTGTTTTTAAATAAGCTGCAACACAGTTTATAACCTTTTTAACCTTCGAACTTATAAGGATCTTGTAATTTAGCAATATTTAAAGAATTTTTTGCGTTAATTTTCTGGTGTTCCAAAAGGCTCTTGCATCATTTTTTTAATAATAAAAATATATTTTTTAAGCGGCAATTAAGAAACGGCAATTAAACAAACAGGCATAAATAATTCTACAGATTTAATTAATTATTAACCATTAAAAAATAATAATATTATTATATAGTTGTACAGTAATTGCCGCTTGTCTTCCCTTAAAGCAGGGAAGACAAGTGGCGAAACAAACGCATCAGGAGCAATTTTGCGCCTAATTAAATATTTACAAACGCGATAAATATATTTTCTTCTTGTTTTATTAAGTTTAAAATTTAGAAAACAATTTTAATGGCGCAAAATTTCGGCGTATCAACTACAGAATATATTGAAAAAATAAATAAATAAATAGAGAAGAAGAAGAAGAAGAAGAAAAAGAATTTCTCTCAATGTAGAAATTCATTTTATAAGTGGAGGCTCATTGCGACTTGAAACAATCAGAGAAACAAGCCATCAACTACATTGATATGCGAAAACGGATGGAAAGAAAAGTGGGTTGAACCTACTAACATCCCAAGGGGGTCTCCACCATCCGACAATATTTAGGTTTGCAACGTTGCAACCACCAACCGGCCTTATATCCACTTATGATTGTGTGTTTGTCGTTCATTCAGCCAATTACGTAGCAAGCGGGGCCATCTGATAGTAAGTTATTGGTTATTACTACGAGACCCCGCAGCCGATAACAAGGTCTGTCTAACCATTACTGTAAAGCAGTTCCGAATACCCTCAAGGGTACACTTCAGCAGCTAGTAGAAAATTATTTCATTCCCAACCAATTTCTGTTGGTATTGGCAACGTCTAACAAAATTTCCTTCTATCCTCTCCATTGTGGAAGGATTAGATTCCTTCTTTTATATATCGCCCACTTATAGGCGCGTAAAGCAAATGATAGATGTATAATTTAATTGTCTACCGTCCACCAATAGGAACGATCCTCTTCTATTCTTTTAATTATACGTCAAACAGGTAATTTTATATTCGTCTCGCGAGAAATGTTAAAATCTCTTATTATACAACAAATCAACGGCGACCAATGGGATGTTAGGTGGTTTGTGACGTAAAGTTGGAAAAATCAGATTGATAGAGAATCAACTGTTTGTGACTGGACATTTTATTTCTGCAGGAATTAGTCTATGGACTTGACATGATAAGGTAATGAGACTTGACGATGAGTTGCATGAGGCGATCTTTTTTAATTCGAGATATTTTGGGTGAGTCTTGTTTGGATTCTTTATCAGGTGAGATGATTATTCATTTATTAAATTTCTAATTAAAATTTATTTATTTTTTTTTAAATATTTCCTCCGTTCTTCTCTGTTTAGAAAATATTTTTGAATATTTTTTACGCGAATTTAAATCGAAAAGTAAACGAAATTATTGTGAAAAACAATTAGAAATGTTAAATATAGAATTCGATTTAAAGTATTTTTCTCTCGAGGCTAAACGGGGATATTTATCATTAATTTTAATACAATGAAACATTCGAATATTTTAGAAGAATCTAATGAAGGTAAGTGACTTCAATCTGTAGTGAGAAGGATGAAAGAATCGAGTAATTGTCAACTCAAAAGTCATTAATATGATATTTTTACTGTCGATAATTTTAAAAAATTCTCGATATTTTACAAATTTTCAAGTTTAGAATATAATTAGTTTCGTATAACAGATGTAACAGTTGAAGAAAACTGCATAAAAGTTATACGAATTCAGCTATATCCATCCTTACACTTAACCTAATTATACTTTTACTCAAGAAAATATTCAAATTTTTTAAATGTTAGTTTAACTTATTAACAACGGATTATATATAACTGAGTTAACTTTCCATTAGTCTATCAAAATTAAAAGGATTTATTTTATCAACAGCATTATTTAGTCATTTATAGAAGTTCAGGCTTACAGGTAGTCTAGGAACTATCGAAATCCTTTAAAATTCCTTTAAAATTCGAGATTTTAGAACCTAGGAACTTCGAATATGTTTAAAGTCCTTTTAAAGTCCTAGTCTTTAAAAATCTCTTTAAAATCCTATACTTTAGCGCAGTGTTTTTCAACCTTCTTGAATACGCGACCCCTTTACAAGTTAAAAAATTCTGGCGACCCACAGGGCCATATTAAAACTATATCAGTGATTTTAAAAACTATGTATTTAATTTTCTTTTTGTTGAGACAAATTATTGTTGATTAAAATGAAAATTTCAGAAGAATCGACAATAATTTAACATACATAAAGTATGAAACTTCCTTTAATTATAACATTAGGCACAGGGAACTGTTGACTTTTTTTTTTCTTTTTTCTTTTTTTTTTAAGGTAAAGATTTTCAGCTTCTACTTTTGTACTTTTTATTTCCTTTTGCAAATCAGCTTAACACTTTTTCCGCTATCATTTTCTGGGGTGGGCCGTAATTCTCGCTGAAATTGTAGTTTTTTTACTGTAGTGTAGGACCTACAAACACTTGTCTTTTTCTTCTACCCGCGACCCACAGGTTGAAAAACACTGCTTTAGCGTCTAGGAGCTATCTAGGAACTTCGAGGTATGACTTTAAAGTCCTAGACTTTAGACATATTAAAGACATATACAAATGAAACAATTACAGGTTAAAAAATATCAAAATAATAATAATTATGAGCAATATACGTTTGATTTTATAGATTAAATTGTACAAGAGTCACTTCTAGCGTAATTTTATGCGGACAAGGCACACAAAAACGCTCAATTTACTTTAAAAAAGCGAATAAAACGAAGTTTGCAATTGTTAAAGGTCTCAATACCTTTTTTTAACCTTAGTTTTCCTAGCAGGAGGGTTCCTTTTGTGTGCTGTATAAAGAGGTTCTTGGCTAAGGGTCAGGACACGAGTGGTGTCAAGTGGTAGAGAAGGGTCGCTACCTAATTTGAGGTCGGAAGCTTCTTTGACCTTGTTTGTGAAATCGCGTATTGAAACGGAATCATTTATCGAGAGTTTTCTCTTATAATAAACGCGATTGTTGTAAAGTATCTAGAGTTTATATTGAATCATTGGCTTAAGATATATTCAATATAATTTCAGTTTCACGCATCATTTGATACATTGAATTCTCCTCGCTTCTGACGGGGCTACTTAAAGGCTGAGGATATATTGTTAAGTCCCGAGAGCATGTGGACAATAAATTGGAAAATGTTCTATTAAATTGTCAACACTTAAGGAAAGTCGATGAAGACGGTCTCAGTCGACACATTACTATTATTCGATTTTGTCAAATACTAAGTTTATCGGTCGAGTTTACAGCTTATGTACTAAACAACCTGCAAAAATTCCTTAAATATTCAAGAGAATATCTTAACATTAAGCATTTTTTAAGGTAATTACTAAGTCTGATGTAATTAGTGTGTAATTCCCTTAAAAAGAACGATCTTATAGTGTCATCTTTATCAAAATTTACAATATACTTTACCTTATTAACATTAATTTTTTAAATATTTCTAACTCACTTCCGTTAGAAATAATGAAGTAATCTTAATTCAAGTAAGCAGCTTTACAGTTATAAAAATATTTACAGTACTAATTTTCAAGCTCTTTCATAGCTTTAGACTTATAAAGCCAAGTAGTAATATTTTAAACAATGAAAACAATAATAATAATAGGAAAAAAAAGGCAATCAAAAAAGCAATCATGATTTATTTATTATTTGCATTTAGTCAATAAAACATTTTTAAAAATGAATATGACTAGAAGGGGAATTATATCTTTTACTTGAAGCATCTTGTCCATTAATAGTTGTATTTTAAATCATATAGTTTGATAATTTAAGGAGAATTAAATCATATCTCTTTATTGATTTACGAATTATGACTGATTTTCTTATGAATAAGAACATATTCAACAATCTTCTCATTTTAAAGCTAGTATAATACAATATGATTTCTCTGCCCTTTCCATGAAACAAACGTATGCAGTACAATTTTGGATAATAAATTGACTTATAATTTTGAATTCTGCACGTTATAAATTTGGCTTCTGTTTGTTTTTTCGTAGTTTCTGAAGATAAAATTAGTTTATTTCCCTTGAAAATGATAGATAAAACTAGACTTTTTAATTATGTAATTAACACTTTTCGCGTTATTTAATTAACTGAATTTATGAAATTCTCGAGCATTTCAATTAAGATAATGATAATTTAGAAAATTATGCGTTACGAAAATCTATTCCCTCGCATAAATTTCATTAGAAATGAAAATTATGTAAAACTGTTGCATAATACAAGGCTCTTTCCTAGTTTATGGACACAAACTGCGGCTAATTAGATAATATTTTAAAATAAATTTAATTAAATTCCTTTTATTTAAAATTTTAGTGTTTTAAATTATTTTATCAACTTCAAAAAAAACGACGTATTTTTTAAAAGATTTTTTATTGTAATTTTTATTTGGCTGCAGCAGCAATACTTAACTATCCAGATGCTTATGTAAATGAATATAGAATGGAATAAACAGTGATTTTATATCTTTATATTCTCACTAAAATTGTGTTTATCATAAAATATTTCTTTAAAATCAAAGAATAAAATTGTTTAACTCTTAAAAATTCCTATAAAAATTCTTACAGAAATTTACTAAAGAATAAATTTATTTTTTTATTAGTTTATTTTTTATGTAAGAATGCTATGTAATAAATAATATACAGTATATAAAATTTATTCAACTTTATGAATATTTCTACCATGTCAGAATTTGAAATGATTTTATTACTTAAAAAAAAAAAAAAAATGGGTAATGTTTGTTTAAGGACACTCTTATTAGCTTATATTCTTGAATTTATCAGCGTTTAAGCTGATAGAAAATGAAATATTTTGCTTAAAATATATTCAATATTCTATTCTGTTTCCTACAGACACTTTCAAGTAAATGAAAGCATCAGAAACAGCATCATTTATGACAGGACTTACCAAAATAAGTTATTTAACTAATCAAAATAAACTTCTAATCTACTTTAAGAATGTTAAAATATTAAAAAACAATTCTCAAAAATAAATTAAGGAAATATTTGAAATTTTTTTTACACTAGAACAGATTATTATAATTTTTACCTCCTTAAATTCCCTGTCCATCTTCTAAGGCAATTGTTATTATTTAAATTATTTGAATGCCTTCATGTCATGTTCTGTTTTAATTCAAAATTTAAAATATATCTAAAATATTAAATATTTTATTTAGGATAATTATTAAATTGGAAATAAATTAAAATATATTAATTAATTTGATAAATTAGTAAAATCCATTCTCAATTGATAAGAATTTAAATTCATTTGTAGCATCCTGAATACAGAGAGAAATGTATTATTACATGAAATAAAAACAAATAAGTATATAAATATTAATTAATTTTAAATCAGTAACTTAATTTTAATTTAAAATTTCTACATTTAATTAAAATAGTTGAAATTTGTTTTAAAAATGTTTATAGCTTATCTAAATTGAATTAAATCAGGCCTAAAGAGTTTGAATTTAAAGCTAATTCTAATATAGAACATTTCTCCAGAAAAATACGAGTTATACTTAATTATATGCATACAGGGCCTCTTGGAAAAGCTTGGGTCATGTAGAATTTTAAGGTCTGCAGTAACGAGCCCTGACTAAATGGATGGGATAAGGCAACGCAACACATATGCCTCATGTTCTCCAGGGAGGCCCCTTCTGCCAAAAGGGCCTCCCTAGAGATGTTAGACACGGGAAGAAAACCCGGAAAACTACACATGGTGAGTCAGTCGCGAACCCACGACGAACATTCAGTGGTTTTATCCACTTGGCCAAGTGGTCTTGGCCAAGTTCTTATATACGAATACACGTCTCTCCTACAGTAAGGCCTGTATTCGTATATAAACAGATCTGAACAAATATCCTAAGAATTTTCATTAATTATATCAAGATAATTTCTTCTATATTTTAAATATATAAATTTTTAATCAGATCTCTTCTATATTATCGCACGTCACTTCCAAATAACGAGATGAGGCCTGCATGCATGCATTGAGGAGTAGACTAAAGTTCTAGAAATTCTAAATTTTCAAATTAAATACTGTGAAATATTGCATAAAGCTTTTATCCACTACGGAGTCTTATGAATAAATTCACATAAAGACTATAATAATAATTTAACAATTATAGGCCTTGGATATTTGAGTGTGTGGGAGACACATTGAAGCTTAATAACTCCTGTGCCTTTTACCAAAAATTTCTGAAATTTTGAGGAATATTTCTAGAAATTTTCAGGAAAATAGGATCATTGGTTCGGGAAATATGGTCCCTCCCCCTTAATATCTATCGAACCAATCTGAAGACTTAAAGGTAATGGTAGCAATTATTAGGAATGAAAACAAATAAAGAATGCCGGGAAAGCAACAACGTTGCAGTTTTACGAATGATTTAATTACGTTCTAGTGCACAATTTACTGTTCAAAATAAAGATTTAGAAATGGGATTGTTCTTTTCGCCTGTATTTTATCAAGAGGAAATGAAAATAAGTGCGCATTATACGTTATCTCGATTCCATATTACTTTAATTTTTCATGACATTTCATTAGTTTAACAATATTACTACAATTTATGCATATTAATATAATCTTAGTTAAACTGTAAAATTATTCGCGTAAATATGGATGTTTTTATTGTTTGAATCGTTTTTTTAAAATTACGCTTGTATTTTATTACTATTCGTTCTTAATTTTGATAAAATAAACCTTAATTTTTATTTCTTTAATAAAAAATTATTATTAAAAAGACACGGATGATTGTTTTACAATTATAGTCATTTATTTATTGTTAATACAATACTTAAGTATTGTGTCAACAACTTGTCCATTTTCACTTTCATTTTCACTTTGAAAATTTCATTTTATTAATATTCACTTCGCAATTACAATATTTACACCTACAATAGTCTAAAAATTAAATATTTTTAAGAATATATTTAAAATCAGCTAATAAAAAAATCATTAAACAATAGGAATTTTAATAAATAAAAATACTTTTGCCTAAACTAATTATGCATCTTCAGTTAAGATATTACAACATAATGAAAAATGTGCTTCAACAGAACCTAATTTAACAGAACGAATAGTAAATTTATTTACCTCATTAATTCAGTTTAAATTTCAAATTTTTAAAACTCGTCCAATGATTATAATATCTGATAAAACAAAACGTTGGAAACATAATTAAACGGTTCCTGTTGGACAAACCTTCACAAACTTCTATCCTACTAAAAACTATCATGTTCTTCTCTATGTCCTACTAAAACCCGTAAGATACTTCTTTTCTATTTCCTACTAAAACAGCCAGATTCTTCTTCTTTATGTTCTCTATGTTAACTGAAAAAGTCTAATTACATAAAAGTATTTTCGTCAAAATATCGAGGATGGGTTTTTATTTAAATAAATTAAAATAATGCGCAGATATAACACTGCAATTGGGTTTAGAAATCTCAAAATATTTGCCATTTTATCTGCTACTTTTATTTATGCCGTACTTTAATTTAAAAAACTATCTTTCAGAGGATTTTAAAATTATAAATTTTATAAAAATCTGAATCTTAATACTTTTCTCCATTATATTTTATTAAAAAACATACCTGTATATTATATAGAGCCATACTATAGAGTAGGCTCTATATAGAGCCTACTCTATAGAGTAATATCTGGTTTGGAAGCTGTTGTCTATCAGTGTTTATCTTGTAACACGTCACCGCAAGAGTGTATTGTATTTAATATAAATACAATACACCTCTTGCCAATCCGGCCCTTAATAATCCTGTCTCTCAGTTATACGAGGCAGGATTATTAAGGGCCGGATTATCAAGAGGTTACTGTATCACTCCATAATTTCACAATGACATAAACAGCACAGTCCGAAAAAATCCGTAGATATGGCAACAGTTCACAAAATTCATTGATTTTAGATAGGTTACGGGCCTATACATTCAGTAATCCGGAATTTTCGGTAATTTGGAACCCTCTGCGCAAGTAACGGCCGGATTATCAAGAGTCCAGGTAAAAAAAGGCTGAAATCAATAATAAAAACACAGAGCGTGGATAAAAACAATGTGTTTTTAATCTACAACGAACAATCGCTTAGGCCTTTAAAAAATCGTTCTCGACACTTATTTAACATTAATTCGTTTATATATTATTACGGCCTAAAAGGCCTAATTAAATCAAGTGGATAAAAACATTTTATTCCTTCATTCATTTCGATAGTAATTACGAATTTATTGGATCTTTGGGAAAGCTTCGGTGGCTAACAGCTATCTAATTGATATCGATTTTTGCGGTTCCTGCCGCCATCTGGTCAATTAGCCTATTTCATGTTCCGTTTGATCTAAACGGACTTCTACAGATGTGTGAAAGCGTTTGTAGATCTAACGGAAATTTCAAATAATAATTTAAAAAAAAGTCGTGAAATCTACATATGTGTGAAAGCCAGTGGAGCCTTATAGGCTCGTGGGGGAAAATTCGAATTAGGGGTCCCGTGTAAAGTATCGACTTCAAACATTTTTGTTCTAGGATTTTTGGAAAAAATCGACGTTCGTTTTTTAACTCGACCAGTGCATCATGCGCTGCACCACACAAGCATCTAGAATTTCCAGTTATGGCTCAAATTTAAATTTCGATATTCTTAATACGGCATTGAGTTTATAAGAGATTGATTTGGTGGCCCCTGTTGGTGGGTATCCCAGGCAATTGCCTTTATTTTTGCCCATAACGCGCCACTGGTGAAAACGCTTGTATTGATAGATCTAACGGAGATTTCAAAGAAAGGTGGTGGAATTTAACTTGAAAAAATACTTTTCAGATGTGAAAGGCATTGTAGAAGAAACGACGACTTCCGATAACAATTCGGATAGCACAAAAGTCTCTTCCGATCACGAAGGATCTACGAAAAAACAGAGGAGAAGAAGGACGGCCTTCACTCAAGCTCAACTAGCCTATCTTGAGAAGAAATTCCGTTGCCAGAAATATTTAAGTGTAGCCGATAGAGGGACTGTAGCCGAAACTTTAAATTTAACTGAAACGCAAGTGAAAACTTGGTATCAAAATAGGAGGTAGGTGTTATTAAAAACGTTTAAAAAAAAAACTCGGTGCCATTCGGGATTAGATTAATGGGATGTGGCAACGTGACACGTGGCCGATCCATTAAGGAGAATGCCTCCCGTGAAGACTTTCCATGGGTTAACTGGCCCCTATTTGGGTAGACACGCGAAGAAAACAGAAAACTCCACGAGGCAAACCGTTGGTGCGGTACCAACCCGCGACCAATTACCAGAGTTTAGTGATTTACTCCATTCAGTCACTGGTGGGTAGAGTCATTCAGGACCTCACAGTTATAGAGAGAGAAAGAAAGAGGACTATTTTATATTTTTGAAGCCATGGTATATTGAAAAAATAGCGTTAAAAATAGATTTTTCTCTTAGTATACAAGAAGTGCAATGATATTAATAATTTGTAACAATTATTTCAAGGCCTTCATAAATTTGTGGCTCTGTTGGCCTTCTTTCTTATAGAACGTAGAGCCGTTTAAAGATTCTATAGTTTAACACAGATTACGTTCGAATTCTATTACTGTATTAACATAAATAAAATAGTAAATTGAATTCTTTAGGAATATTTATAAATATTCTAAATAGGAAGTGGTCCCCATTTTACGTGTTAGACATATTAAAAAAAATCGGAAAAATGAGCGCTTTAGGATGAGCCAAAAATCAATTAACAGTTTTGAATACGAGCGCTTTATTTAGTTTAAACTATACCTAAATCCGTTCTAACTTTTTATGATTACAAGTATAATGTTTAGAAAATTTAAAAAGAAAATAATAGTTTCAAGGAAGTAATCTTGCAGAAGAAACTGATAATCTAAACTGAAAAAGAGAAAGATCTTGAAGAACAAATCTCCGGCTGCATTAAGATGAAAATAAAATTAATTAATCATATAAAAATTCAAATTGTGAGTGAACAATTGCAAGGATTCGATAGAATTTCTATCATTAAAAATAAAATAAAATAAATGTAGACCATCATATTATTTTCTTCTCGTAATCAATTGCCATTGTGAAGTGCTGTATACATTCTTTTCTTTCTATCATAAGTGACTAAAACATAAAAAATAATTCTTATAATATGAAAAGTAAATAGTTTTTATTCTTAATACAAAATCTTATCCATTTTACAACTGAATATAATTATTTTTTAAGCATAACAATTTCGCAAATTAAAATTTAATATCAAATAGATAAAATTTATCGATGTTATCGTATAATATAATCGAGATAGGTTGATAATGATAATAATAAGCGCAGAGCCCAAACGGTTAGGAGTTGAAAGTTGAAATTTGGTACACAGGATACGTCATGAGAAAGTACAGTAAGAATGGATTTTTCTAAATTCCCATCGCGGGAGAGAGAGAGAGAGGATTAAGGATTACCCAAAGAACTCGGCTTTTACTGTGCTATTTTAGATGCCTTTTTTGCATTTATGCGGGAAATCGAACATATTTTTAGACCCTTCTAAAAATTCTCAACGATATTTAGTGTTCCATTGTATATGAAGTTGACACGGGAAGCGTGTGCGCATAAGTTCGCTTTATTCGAACTCTTCGTCTTAATGTTCGATTTTATGTTCGCATTTTATATTTATGAATGATTCTGGAAGATCCAGCTTTTCGAATTTATTAATTAAACCTGAAGAAGAACCCAGAAAAAGTTACGAAAACGTTTATTATTTATCACTTACTTGTTAGTAGTACTACGCACTGGTTAGTGATTGGGCGAGTCTTATTTATCGTTATCCCGGTGTGATAAGCAGATATCTAAAAATTCTCTAATTAGTCTCGGAAGAGGGGGGACCTAATTCTTGCACTCGGTGAAAAGGGTAAGATCGGCTATAATCTAATAATCTTAATCTTTGCTATCGTTACTTTTTGTCCTAGCAATGCCGGGCTCATCTGCTAGTTTAATAATAAAATTATACTCGTAAAAAACCTATTGGAGAAGCGTACATAATATTCGAATATCTTCAAGTCCATATTTTAAAGAATAAAAATTTTTAAAACACGAACCTACTAGTAGCCAAGGGGAAAGAAATCATTAAACAGTGGTAATTTGTCGCGGTAATTTGGCACCTGATCAACGGGTTGGCCATGTGTAGTTTTTACGAGTTTTTTTTTTTTTTTTTTTTTACGTTCGTAACACTTAACTTTGGCCAATTTCCCATAGAAAGTCGTTCCGGAAGACACCGCCTATGTGTCGAATACTGATAGTTTGTCGTAGGTTCGCACCTCGCCAATGGGCTTACCACGTGGAATTTCCCGGGGTTTTTTTCACGTTTACCTAACTAGGTACTAGTTTCCTATAGAAAGTCCTCCCGACACATGTCGCGTTCCATATACAAACAAAACCAACTTTAAAACACGAAAGTTTAAATTAGATTTATATACAAATATATATATCTAAAGATATAAAGAATAAAGAAAAGTATCTTTTACGAGGCATACACTACTTTTCTATTCATAAAAGAAAATTTAAAACTACAATAATACATTTTTATACTTAGAATTACTGTACAATAAATAATGTAAAAAATATTATTTTTTTTTACATAATTAAATTTACTTAGACATAAAAAGATGCTTAAAAGTGCTACCATACATTCGTAATACTTAATCCGGGTTTTAATAGAATTGGTCCCACAATATCTCGGATAATCGTGGTTCTACTGTGTATGTAATTTAACTCATCTACAAATTTTTATAATGATTATATTTTTTATCGAATTAATAAATTATAAACTTATAATTTATTAGATTTTTAGGGTGTCCCATAAGCCTAAACCATAGGAGTTATGCTGATCTTTATTTTTTTTACAGGTAAAGTATGGCGCTGTGAGTAAGAAGGAACAAAATCGCTATTTTGATGGTGGGACCCACAGTCAGCATAGTTTCCAAACTTTAACTGTTAAATTTGGCAACTCACATTGAGGATCCCTGACATCAAAATAACTTGAATTAGTTCCAGTTAGCTCCATAATTTACCTGTAAAAAATAAAATAAACAAAGATCAACATAACTCCTATGATTCTAGACTTATGGGACACCATACAATATATATTTTTAAACGTATGTACAGTACAGTACAATATTTATAAAGAATTTATCCAATTATCTTGTAATGCTTTCAATAACAGATGGCAAACATGACTGACTGAAGAATTGTATAAAAGCAAGGATAAAAGATGTTTGCTTTCATACAGACTTAATATATTGTACTGTTATCAATTCTCTATATACAATAATATTAATATCAATATAAAATGGTAGCAGGTTATTAAGTCTACTACTATTAATGGCCTGTATCAGTTGTAAGGTATTAAGACCCATTAATTAAATACATTTATATCTTAAAATTGTAAAAGTTTTTTGTTAAAATAATAAAGGCAATTTTGCACAGTTTGTTATAAAAGTTTATATTTTTGATTTCACTGCAAAAAAATTATTTTAATTAAATTTATATGTAAACCTTTAACACTTTATATTATTTTCTACATTTCCAGACGAATTTTTCTAGATTTACAATTGAATTCTATGAAATAGTATTTTTTTGGAAAGATTTGAAGATAAAATACTCATATTCAAACTTTATAAGAATATTAAAATCTGCAATTATTTCCATATATTTGTCCAAGACTAAGTAAATGTGGGATTTACTTTACTTCTCTTCCATTGTATAACTCATACATCCCATAATTTCAAGTCAAAAAATAAAACAAGATAGTAAAATCTCATAGATTTAGTTTTGGAAATTAAACATTTAGAGTCAATTTTATCACAAGACATAAAATACCTTCTTCTAGAGTTATCAATTATTCAAAGCAGGAAAAATGATTTAAAATTATTAAAATTTATTCATTTTGTTCCCATCAAAATGACAAAATCTACAGTAAAGGCAAAAATATTGAATAATCCAGGAAATCAATTAAATAATTTATAAATGAAACACTTCAAAATTATTCAAAAATTAAAACTAAAACATGCAATTTAAAATTTCTTATAGGCTAAATGTAAAAATGATTTGATTTCTCAGGCCCGAAGAATTTTTAATTAAAAAATAAATATTAAATTAAAAAAACACGAAGTCAGCCATGTTTACATTTATGGTAAAAGGAAGACGTAAAACAGGACTATAAATAAACTTCAATATACAAAATTTTAAAATTATCCTCAGAAAAAAAAATATATTTTTTAATGTAAAGCCTTTTCTTGCTTTTAATACCTAAATAGGAGCCAGTTTTCTATAGAAAATCTTCCAAGAAGCACGACCCCTTTGCAGATCGCCCAAGTTTTACATTACCTCGTCCCATCAATTCACTCCAATCCAATCCTGCTTAAAACACTAAATTTTATAAGTCATTCTATTAAATATGCCCAGTACTCGAGCCCCTTATCCACGACATCCCCCTATAAATAGGGTTTCCAACTTTCTTGTACAAAAAAGGAGGTCATTGCACGGGCCTATCTGAAGGACCGACGGATCCTCGAAACAGATGTTTGTAACTCTTGACTGGGGCATACCAGTGACTCTCTGGTTGATTATGATTGCTCCTTAAATCCTTCTAATATAGCGAAATTGAAAAAGTGAGGGCTGTGTACGTTTTCAAAATGACGGGTTGTCGTAGATGGGCCTATATCTATTGTTGTCCCTTTTTTGGTAGAAATGAGAAACAGTATCGGTCAAAAGTGACTTTTGTAAACATTGGTAGTCTGTTAGAAGTTTGTGAATTACAAAATATTGAGATCGAAATACTGAACTTCAAATATTATTTGAAAATGTTCTTTTTAGATTATATGGACGATGTAAAATTATAATTAACACGTTAATAAAGCATCGTGTTTAATCATACTTTATTTTATACGCCATTCAAAATGAACATAACTTGTATTATCGCTGCCAGGCCATGGAGCCTGGAGGCAGGGCCTTCGTTCATCCAAATTATCATTAAGCCTAATTAGTTAGGTCTAACTTAGACCTTTTTCTTATGATCCAAATTCTACTTAAATTAACACAAAAATTATGTATCTATATCTCATTATTATAGAGTAATCCGTGTATTTATTTCAAATATAGTTAATTAAAATGAGTTAATTATCGATATTTTTTTCTTTCTAAAAATATTCTTTGCCCTTATTCAAGAAGACAAAGAGACATTTTAAAGTGTCACCTTTCAAAAGTTTTAAAAGTTGGACGAGAGTACTCTTGTCAGTAATTAATTTTAATCTCTAATTATATTTATACTTTTATTATTGGTTTAAACATTTATGGACAAGAGCTTTGTAAATAGGCAATTATTTAATCATATACAACGTCGTCATCTTCGTAAATTGCGGAATTTAAACGAGTTCCTATAAAGTTAATCCGAAATTCCGTACACATTCCAAAACAACCCAAAAGTCAATTAACCGATATGTTTATTTTCGTGACTCAATCCCTCATTGGAAGCAATCGAATCACGGAAAAACAAATTGAACAGAACAGTCGCATACAATCGTTAAAAACAGGTTTTAACAGGCTTTTATGTACCAGTTAACTGTTTTTTGGCCCATCCGTTATTTTAAAATGAAATTTTATGAAATCAGATATTCTTCGTATGTTCAATTTAAAAAGTACAGTAGACTCTCGGTTAACCAGAACCTGTGGGAATTGGCAGATACCGGATAATGCCTGCTTGATTTAAAATCAGGCCTAAATAATACTACATTACATAAAGCAAATTGTCTTTATTTTCCTTAATGTAACACAGTTTTAACATAGAAACAGCGTTGTGAATGAACTGTGCAATTTCAGTTAATTAAATGGCAGTGAAAGACAAAACATGACATGTGAAGCATGTGCTTACTCGTGGCAAGGCGCGCCAAGTTTAAATTTACATTTCCGCTAAAAATTAATTTTAAATTTTATTTAAGTATTATTTCTTCGATTTTTCTGTCGATTGCTTGAGTTCCGGTTAACGAGAGTCTACTGTATTTAATTAAAAATTTCAGAGTTTCGTTTCCAACTTAAAGATTGAATCGGATGTTACGATACTCTCTGAGATCGAAAAACCCCAAGAATTTTTCGAGCCCTCGTCCCTATTACCCTATTGAAAGCCTGGCCGAACGTATGGACATTAGAGGGACCTTTTTATGTCCCACAATGAGCATAAAAAAAAGGTCCCCTAATGCCATACGTAGTAAAAAAATTCAACAAGCTATACATTAAGTTGTAATTTTTTTTAAAATTAATTATTATAATGCATGGAATTCATTCATTTACTGTACTGTAAGTGTGGAAAATCATAAAATTCTTCTATACAAAGTGTGTTGTACAGTGGAACCTTCAAAGCACCACTTGTAAACAATGGCCATTTTGTTTCTTTCAGTGGCCGTTATTCAGAAAAATTAAATTTTATTATATATTCAAACCTCCAAGTTTGAATATATAATAAAATTGAATTTTTCCAATAATAATTGAAAGTTTCTTGTAAATATGAAATTTTCGAATCATTATTAATAAATAATTCTGTAATTAACTTATTGCAGAACAAAGTGGAAACGTCAGAATTGTCAAAGACTGGATCAAGTACGTCATCACGTCCAATCCAAAGATCCTTTGCCTCCACCAACTATTGATCAAGCGTCGTCATCTCGTGCCTTGGAAGCTTCCCTTATTCCATCCCCATATTTTGGAGCTTGTGTAGTACCTGCGACCTCAGCCTGTATGATTCCTCAAGCAATCTTGAGGAACGTTTATGTTCCAAGCCTTCAGCTGTAGTTGTATGTCTGTGTGCATTGTATGAATAAATTAGTTGCTAAGATATGTTTTAAGAACTGTATGTTTTTATTGTAAAACAATTCTCTTCGGTCCATTTTAAGCAGATGAAATATTCAAAACTTAAATATCTAGGATTTTTATTACAGAATCCATTTTTTTCTGCAAAAATTAAGTTTTTTTTTTTGGTTGATATTTTAATCAAACTTTTGTTCCTTAATTATCTATTTACTTGATCATAGCTCTGATATATCAATTATTGCATGAAGGAAACTTCATTTTTCATTATTGGAAGAGATTTTTACATTATGCACTTCCTAAATATATTGAAAACTCACAAATTAATTGAAATTTCAAAGAAAATAAAATTTCATCTATCTAATACACATTCATATTTATCAGAAGAGGTCTTGGTGAAGTACTTAAATTCCTATTAATTAATGTAGTAGCATTACTGTTCTCTGGATGATGATTATTGTACGTAAATACTTATCAAATCTATTGTCATAATGACTAAATTCAAACTAATGAATCAAGTTATTAATGGTTCATTAAATTAGTGAGATTTCAATAAGCTTATCAAGAATCTAATTAACAAACAATTTGGACAAACTGATAATACTTAAAAATAATATTTCTTAAGAGTTTCATTTATATTAACACTTAAATTCCTCAACTCTTACTAACATTCAACAATCCAATCTAAATTAAACTGACAGAATACTTCAACCATACTTCTTGTCTGTCAGATTATTTTGGTTATAGACTAGGAATTCTAAATTCTTTTTTTATATCAACTTTACTGCTAAATTATTAAATCATTTACTGTAAAATGTGATTCCTTTACAGAATTATCATTTATATTAGGAAATGATGAGTAGGTAAAGTTATTATGTTGTTCTTTCTATGTAAAGTAATGAAGTAAATTGGTCTCCAGGCATAATTAATGATATTTTTAGTCATATATGGATATGTATGTTGCATATTAAAATAATTTAGAACAGAAATATATAAATTTATATATATATACAAGTATATGAACATATGATTACTAAGTTATTTAGATAATTACATTTAAATGCACATATTAAAAATAAGTTTCAATTTACTTATTTTTGTAGACCCTTATTTCAGAATTATCATTCAATCTATTATTATTATAAATGTAAGGAAAAAGAAAAATAGTTGCAGAACTTTTTTTTAATAAAATTACAAAGAATTAAAATTCATGGATGAGGCAAAAGCACTTATGAGCTGTATGTCTCATGAAAGGACTTTCTGGAAAACTGGCTATTCAGGTGTTAGAAATGTAAACCCCCCAAAGAACTTCATGTGACCAGCTTCTACCAGTAGTTCAGTAGTTTTAGCTGCTCTGCTACTGGTGGGCCAAAGAAATAAAATGAGATTTCAATTTTGATGTTATGGGTTAAATAGTAGTGCATAGATTTGTATATATAGTACATATTTAATTTTGTTAGTTGTAAGTTATTTTATTCAGTTATGAGTCATCTGCAAAAACATATTTTACAAGCATTTTCTATTATTACTGTTTCACTTTGATTATTACTTAAATTTTATTGAATTCTGTATGCAATATCAGCAAAAATAATCTATTTTATTTATTAATTATTATAACATTAAAAATCTAATTATTTTTAGTTAAAAAACTGATAGCATTTATTCAGATTAAATTTCAAAAATGTAATTTATAAAATTAAAATGCTACAGTGAGAAAATCCATTAAGAATAAACATTAACTTTTATTATTACTGAATTTGACAGTAGACACCAAAAAATCTAGAATTCATGTTCTAAAGCTCTGTAAACATTTTTAAACTGAAAATTAGTTTTTAATCTGCATTTTTGTATATAGTATGAAAATATTTTTAACACATTAAAATGTAAACTAGTAAACTGACTTACATTCTATCAATGGATATATATATGATCATATAAAGCAGAGCTTCTTAAACTTGCCATTCATAACTCCCTCTTATCCAAGAAAATTTTACATTACCTCCAATATATAGGTATACAAATAAAATCACTTACTGATAATAAATCATAAAACAGTTATTTGATATACATATTATTTTACTATTTATTGCTGTTTATTAAAGACAAATACTAATGAGATAGATGCACTTGTTTATTTTACATAAAGAATTAAATCTTGGCTGAATATTTGATACTGCAGGGGACAGGACTTCTTCAATGTTTTTCAGAATTGACCAACTTTTAGATTTTATAACTGGTGATGCTGTTATAAATACCATTTTGTATAAATTTTACTGTTGTTGAATTTTTCATGACCCCTACATTCAATTATATGACCCAGTGGAGTCTCGACCCACAGTTTAAGAAGCCCTCATACAAAGCAATGTTAGAATGGAAATGTTAAAGTTTCATATGAACTGAAAATGTAATTTGAATACTTTAGTATCTGCTTATTCCATTATATATTTCACAAATGTTCAATGTTAATATAATAATTAGTCTTGTTTCTTCAATTTTCCTAAGCAATTATTCCTTAATTTAATTTTGATATTATTTTAGAATAAATTAAGAAAAATTTCCTTATGTCAAATGGTTTAATATGTGTTACTTTATTAATTTCAAAAATTAAATGTTTCTCCTGTTTAATTAAAATAATTAATTGGCAAATTTTCTTTTGTTAAATGTAAGTAAGAATATTAAAATTAATTAATACTAACTTAAAAAAAAGCAACTAATTATTTTCACTAAAAATGAATTCTGTTAAACTAATATATTCATTAGTAACAAATTAAAAAGAAAGAGAACCAAACTATTAAATTATTATAATTTTATTTAAAAAAGTTATTATAGATATTAATAATTTTTTAAAAGTATTTATCAATTGTATATAAAACAATTAGAGAAACATTCTGCTAAATAAATAAAATTATGATAAAGTAACAAACATTTATTTTCATGCATATTTAAATTTAGAATGACACTTCTTACAATATATATTGGCCAACAATTAAGGGATAGACAAAAGTTGTCTTTAAAATATATTTTTAAGGTAACTGTGTACACTTTACATTTGTAATAATTACCATATTGATTTTTATTTCTTATAAGAAATATGGTGTTGTATTGCGAGATGGTATCACACGTTCCGAATCTGGCACAGCATTAAATAGTTTTGGTGCTCGATTGTCAACATCCGAAAATGCTAAAACTGCTGCTATATTACCACAACGATAACAATAGTTAGGTGCTGACCAAACAGTTACTAATTTATCATCAAACATATACTTGAAACCTATAAAATAGATTTAAAAAGTTAGGTTATTAATACAGTAAAACTTATAACATTAATTTGTATTCTCTTTTATAAAATATATACATAAAAATTACAGGGTGTCCCATAAGTCTGGACCCATAGGAATTTCTCAAATTACCATTTCTTTCATACAAGCAAACTATGTCACTGACTATGGAGGAAACTGAATTTAAGGAAACTGAGAACACTCTCAGTTTCCTTAAATTTGGTGATGAACTTACCAACACATCTGTGCATGATTGGTCCACAGTCTGGATGGAGCATTCTCTAACCACTTCTTGGTGATTGTGAACCCCATCATCAAAATCACTTAAATTCATTCCTCCATAGTCAGTAACATGGTTTGCTTGTAATGAAAGAATATTTGAGAAACTCCTATAGATTGACTTACAAGACATCCTGTATTTTTATTAAAAAATCTAAATGATTAATTATTTAATTAATCACTTACTTTACTATTACTTAATTTAATTATAATTATTAAATTTAATAAGAGCTGGCACCTAATGCCTCCCTCTAGTGACCAATTAATTAAATTTAATCACAGGAAAGTAGCCTGATGGTGGTTGTTTGGCTTATTACAACTATATCAGGTTTCAAGATGTTTGTATATACCATATTTACTTGCATATAAGATGAGGTTTTTATCCATTTTTCACTGCTTCAAAAACTTAGATTGTCCTATATGCGCGAGCAAAGGATTCTTTTCATTTTTGTATAACTTTTGTAAACTATGTATTTGCAATTTTACCGGATTCTCGCCTTCTGGTGTTTAAAAACAAAAGTTTTATCTGGGTTGTTTGAATCATTCTTGTGTATTGCCAGGAGTAAAGATGAATAGCAATAGGAAACGCAAAACTTTTGAATTGAATTCCAAAATTACATGGGAGCCCAATATAAGTTTTAATCCATTCCCATGTGAAAACAGATGATTATTTGAAAATTCAAAGAAACTCATAAGTGTAATTGATGAACAGTGAATTTGACTGTTAAGAATTAGCAAAAAAGGTTCCCAATTGTCCAATTTACATGAACAAACTATGTTGTCAATTTTACAAGATTTTTCCTTGAAGTTTAAGATGCCAGTCATTTTTGCAGGACAATGTGTACATTTACGTGCATTTGATATTTTATTTGTTATTAAACAAAATAAATTTAGAATTGTATTAATAAATCTAATTTTCTTTATTTTGATCTTTAAAGTCACACATTGTCCTATATGCAAGATTGTCTTATATTCAAGTAAATACAGTATATACAGTAATATCCCGAACTTACGCGATAGGTGGGACTGAGCGATAACCGCGTAAGTCAAATTTGCGTAAGTTGGGTATAATTTTGCAATTTGTGTAAATCCAAGTTGGATGTATGTAAGCTAATAAATGTTCTTGTTAATCTTATCTTGTCTTTTGATTCATTCATGGTTACAAGAAATCACCACATAGAGTCTCTCAAGTCTTCATAGATATAACAAACACAGAAATAAATAACACAAAATAAATTGTAGCTATGTGTCGATTCCGCGCGACACGTCTGAACATGTAAGCCGAACAATAGTGTGGGGAGTGAATAATCAAGAGTTGCATGGTGCTCAAACAAAAGATGAATTGACGAGATTTGAAAATCGCGTAACTCCGGGTTCGCATAAGTCGAGGTATTACTGTATATTTAATTAAACTGAGCAAATTACAAAATTTCAAATATTTACATTTTTGTAAATGTTAAGTTCAAAGATGAAATAAAATATATCATTAATAAAAAAGTTTAATGAATAATTTTAAAATTTGTTAACAATTATTACCTATTTGGATATATTTCGTTTCTTTAAACTTATTATACTGAATTATAAAAACTTCAATAATGATTAAAGTAATAAAGTGCATATTAGTATATCAAACATCACAAAGCCCAATATGTATATAGAAATAACCAAATGATCGTCTTAAATAATTGGGCTATAACTCCACTAATTTAATGATTAATACTATCATTAAATTAGCAGAATTGTAGCCTGATTATTTAAGGCAATCATTTAGTTATGTTTCTAAACTGCATATTATTTAGTTGTGTATATGTGTACTGTACTTTGAGAACAAATTAATAAACTTTTGTATTAGATTTCCAGCATCTATAATAAAAGATAATGAATATCATTATTTATTTACTAATATATATGTAGTCTTTTAAAACACACTGCATAAATTTTAATGGGAGATAAAGTATTTGCCTTGATATTCCCTTAGTCTGTGCACATACATCACCCTTCAATGCTAAAGCCACTATTTGATAGTGTTGCAATTACCTGAAGAGGTAAAGTGAAAACACAAAAAAAAAATTTATATCTGTCATCAACATTCATAAATCTGGAGACACGCAAAGTACCTTATGTGCATGACTCCCTTTGAACCAGAGGATGATCTTGTCACAATATCTGTTGCTACTGCAAATATTTACAAATTGCAAGAATCTTGAAATCAATCATTGTTTTGATGCTATCACTTACACAATGCTGTTGCTCATTGCAACTTTGGTTAACTTCTTCACACCTGTTTCCATTCATTTATTCACCAAAATCTCTGTCAGCTCTTTAGCTAGCATCAAAGGGTTATATCTGTAGACATATAGACAGATAAAAATGCTTACCTTGGTATTATTCTTCTCCCATTAAAATTTACAATGTTTTGACAAAGCCTTTATATATAAGGAATAAAAATATGAATTATTAACTTAACTACTATTCAAAAACACTAAATTTGATTTTCCATTTGTCTTCTATTTTCAAAAGTTTCTTCATATGTTTTTTCAAGTATTCTAACATTTACCTATAGTTAACAGTAAATAATTCATATTTTTATTGAAACAAATGCCAGTGATATATAACACTGGCATTTGCCTTATATGTACAGCTTATATCCTGGAAAAAATATAAATTTTTATATGCTATCCTATGCAAGTGTAACTGCAAACTTCAAGACAAACAAAATAAACACTACGAATTCCAGCACAGTCTAATTTTATTTCAGGAAAAAACATTTTACACTGTATTGAATGGCCTTCTTTAGACTTTTAAAAACAAATGTTTTAAAGTAACCAATAATATAGCTGTTTATATTTTTTAAAAAAAGGAGAAAGACTTCTGCTAAAGGAAATAAAGCCTTTACTACCTTAGTACTGTCATTTATATCTGTATTCTGCAACTTTTCAATTAAGTTATTGACATCAGTTATTCCTGTTCCTTCAAATCCACCTGCATATTTATTCCTGTTCTTAATCTTTCTTCAGAACTACAATATAAATTCTATATGTATCCTGAAAATAAGACCCTTTTTTTATTTTCCTTGGACTCAAATCTACTCACTTCTGAGTTTATTGTTTATTTTTTCTCAGCTCAATTACCACCACTTAGAGGAACTCTGTTGGCATCAAAAACAATTATTTCACCTTTTATTATCTATAATTCTATCTTGTTGATCAAATTCATGATCTCTTCCTGTATGTTCAATTATATTCAATAATACTTCTAAATCTCCTTGATTTAATGCAAATGTGGTATTATTATTATTATTATTCTTCAAATTTGTCATCTCCATAATGAAAACTGCACTTATTCCATATGTGAGGGGCTAAACCGTACATACCGAGTGGTAAGACTCTAGTATCAATTACTCGGCAACTATTCTCTAGAATAGCCCTCTGTTTGTCTTACAAGGATGGTTTTTCTATTCAAGAAAATCGAGTGTAGAGGGCTTTAGCTAATGTGTTACTTTAAAAGCAGAATTTTGATGATCGCGTAATCACCTTATCCTTACGTCAGGAGTCCCGACACCAGTTAATCACTTATTTTATACGTGGATTAACACACATTATCCCTAAACTCGTGAATATCTAACATTAATATTAAAGAAGCCATATTTATATAACAAATCAAAATATTTAATGGATCAAAAATATGAAACTATACAGAAGAATAACTCTAAACCTAATCTTAACTCTAATTTTTAACCTAAGATTATTTCTAAACCAAACACGTGAGAGAGAGTTCACATCAATTTATCTCTGGTCATATTACCTTCTTTAGGTCCTTCGTATCTTTTTCTATATCTATTTGAGGGTCTTCTTCCTTTCTTGATTATTTCTCTTCTAAGATTTTCTTTGGCAAGTCCTTTTAAATCTTCTCTTGTATACTTCGAATGTAGTATTCTATCATTCTACTATCATAAGACATAATCATATGACAATCTTTCTTCGCTGGGCTGCCTCTATCATATGTTGGACTTTCTTTGTGTGGCAACCTTTCTCCAACAGACTGCCTCAATGGGCGGGAAATCGTCCCTTTTGTTTTCTCCTCAGTAATGTGTGCAAAAGCTCAACTCATCATGAGTTCACCTGGGAAAGGAAATCAACTTCCTTTCAAAATCAAATGTTTTTCCATTTTTTAGAAACTTCGTTGAAGTTGAAAAAAAATATTAATTTCTNTCTAAACCAAACACGTGAGAGAGAGTTCACATCAATTTATCTCTGGTCATATTACCTTCTTTAGGTCCTTCGTATCTTTTTCTATATCTATTTGAGGGTCTTCTTCCTTTCTTGATTATTTCTCTTCTAAGATTTTCTTTGGCAAGTCCTTTTAAATCTTTTCTTGTATACTTCGAATGTAGTATTCTATCATTCTACTACCATAAGACATAATCATATGACAATCTTTCTTCGCTGGGCTGCCTCTATCATATGTTAAACTTTCTTTGTGTGGCAACCTTTCTCCAACAGACTGCCTCAATGGGCGGGAAATCATCCCTTTTGTTTTCTCCTCAGTAACGTGTGTAAAAGCTCAACTCATCATGAGTTCGCCTGGGAAAGGAAATCAACTTCCTTTCAAAATCGAATGTTTTTCCATTTTTTAGAAACTTCGTTGAAGTTGAAAAAAATATTAATTTCTTTTAATTTTTCTAATCTTTTCTTCAACTTGTTATTTTGATTAAAATGACCCTCCCATAAATTTCCAGATTCTCACACATAATTTAGTGACTAAGATCAGTTCAAATATTAATTTACTCAAATAATGACAATCATTGCTCTAAATTGAATGATGCAAATTCTTCAGTTTACCTTTCAAAGATACCATTAATTCTACCTATACTATTTTGATTGGACCTCCCTGATTCCTTCAATATTTGACTTATAAAACCTTGTGATTAGAAAATATTCTTTCACTTTCAATCCACCAACTTTAGCCATTCCCACTATGACCACCTCTACTGCTTTAGTGCAAACACTTAAGTTATACAAGTAGCCTTTATTCTTGATTTGTGCTACAGTTTCATCAGCAGTATGATCCTCTCCTTTAAACTCAACAAATACCAGAATAAGTTTTGGGTTTATCCTGCCATTTGCATCACAGATCTGCATGCCCTAGCACATTCTATGTAACAATTAAGACCATAGCAAAATTTAAAATTTAATGCTACAAACTCACGATACACTGTTTTTGAGTTGATTAGTGAAAATCTTTGTCTTGATATAAGCTGATAAAATTTTTAAAAAATTTTTTCTGTGCCAGCTATATATGTGCCAGCTGTTCCTGGATATATTTACTAGAAAGCTTTTTAAATGAATCTTCAAGGTTTACAGATTGAGTTATCCTTAACTTCTTTAAATTCATCATCTGAAACAAGAAAGGTGCTGCTGTTTTAAATTTTTCTTCTACTCCATTTATTTGCCTTCCATATAGTCTCAATTGCCCTGAATCTTTTTCAGTATGCATTTGAAAATAAATATTCATCTACATGTGCATTATCTATGTCAGAAATGCTTAGTTTTTCTGCTATCTCTTAGTTCATTATCATTATAACAATGTCTATCTTCTAAGTTTTTATCACTCATAATCTGATCATTTGTAAAAATTACAGGCTATTTATTTTTTCCTATCCTTTTCATGAGAAATCCATATTTTTACAATGTAAATTATACCTCTCACTCTTATTATCCACCACTCATAGTCAGTAAATTCCTCAACATGCTTAATACACATCATACTGATACCAAGCATTTCCATCAACCCACTATCAGGCAAGATTAATACTGAATCCAAAATACTGTGAATAAAAAAATTCCAGATCAGTGGTTGATCCAATCCTAAGAATCTCGTAACAATAAACCAAACTTTTCAGGAAATCCTACTGGGCTTCGTGGATCACTAGACTTAACTTAGACCTCTATTATTACTCAGATTAATTGGTTTAATGAGAAAATTCTATTAATTCAAGTTTATACTCAATGTGTTTCATCTTAGCTGTTGCTCTTGGCACTTTCCATCTAGTTTTTTATACTATTCTAGGGTGACCAGATGTCCCACCGTCCTGACAAAGGTTGCTGGATGCTTAAATGTCCCATACTTCTTCATTTTTATATTTACATCATGAATGGTATATTTTGAACAATTTTGTCCAACAGTTTAAATGACTGTAAAATTGGCTGTGACAAGTGCATCTCTATAATCACATTAGCTATAACCTCAAACTGTTTTATGAAAATTACTATTGTGACAGTGTTTAAAGTGATTGTTTGTGCTACAGTATAAAGTATGTATTAAGATTATTATGTAAGATGTCTACTAGGACTTATTTTATTAACAGGACTTATTATACTGGTGACCTAGTTCTGCAAATTTAAGAGAAGTAATCAGAAAAAATAGTCTTTTTTTCACCTGTACACATTTTACATGATATAATTGTGTTTTGGACCTGTTGGTCCCTCATCAGCAGGTTTACAGCTAACAATTTAGTATTTTGATTATCAAGTACATTAAAATTTAAAATTACTAACAGGATAAATCCAAACATATCTCCAATATACTTATCACACTCCTACTATTACTTGAACAATTTATCCTGTTAATAATTTTAAATTTTGATGTACTTGATAATCAAGATACTAAATCTTACATCTTACATAATAAACTGTATAATAAGGATACAGAGAGGCATATGAATTAATATGTATTAAGGTTTTTATTGTTTTAGTTTATATTAGCCTTATTACTTATAAATCTGAAAATATAAAAGTAAAGTAACCACAGTAAGTGCCATTTATCATCTTCACCAATTCAAAACAGTAAATCCACTGCATTTTAATCATTTATTAAAATCATACATTTTGATATTATATTTAGACAATTTCAGATATTTTTGTGTCACTTTCAAGGCAAGTGGTGATATATACTTTGTAATATGAATTCAAGACAAGCAAAAATTTTAAATAACTATGTAACATATTTTACTTAATGTAAATTTTGAAAATTTTCTAGTATTAGTTAATTTTGTTCATTTGGTAACTCTAAATTTATTCCCTATATCAGTGTTTTCCATCCACCAATCTGCAAAAAAAAAAATTCACCAGTCCTCAGAAAAATATTTAACTGTACTGATGCTGGCGTAGTTGATTACAGGTGGCATTTAAATAATCTAGAGTTACTGTGCATACTTTGTTAAATACAGTAACTCTAGATAAGCATATATAAACATAACTCAAAGTCACATATAATTACTGATCCATGTGTTTTTATTTTTCTCACTTACATATAATATATTTCTGATTTTCGGTTATTAGAATTGCCATTTAATAGAATCAATAGTCAATAGACAAATGTGATTGCAATAAACAACACTTACTGATGTACTTTAATTTAACTACTTGATAATTTTCTGTGCTGTGTGTTATAAAAATCAAACAAGTTTTTTTATTTTTAGACCTACATTAGAACTTGAAATGCCAAAAAGAAAATGTATTTACATAAGAAACTTCAAAGAGAAATGGAGTTTCATAAAAAACTTTAGAATTAGAGACTAATTTTTCTTATTAAATTGATCTAGATACATTAAACTTAATAGAATTTTTATTCCAACTTTCCAGAGAACAAGACTACATTTTAAATTTGTCTGGCTACCATTGCTTAACTTGCACCAATTAACGGCAAATACTTTAAAAACAAAGCTTTGTTGTCTGAAAAACTAAATTTCTATAAAGTTTCAAAATTTTATTATACAGTTAAATATCCAGTTCTACATTAATCCTATTTTATTTATTACAATAATTAATTGCTTAGTTCTGCATTCTATTAAACAGATTTCTTACTTCTAGAAACACATTTTCAAGCAATTGCTAACTGAAAAGTGTGTTTCAGAATACAGAATATAAAGTAAAATAATTATTATATTCATATGTTTAACTTCATACATATATAGTAGTATTAAACTATATATATTTAAAATTAATCTAAGCATTATAAAAAATATTAAAGCAGGTAAATAGTTTAATGCTAGTTAAGTAATGAAATTTAAAGACCAACTGTAAGTATTTCTACTTACCTTCATGAACTAATTGATGTGCTCGACATATAAGTTTGAGATTGTTCAAGTGCATAAACTATAAAAATGAAATAAATGTTTTTAATTATATTTATTAAAAAATTAATTAGACTTATTAGAATCATGTCACAAAACGAATTATTGTATATGGAATCATCACTGTCATGACATTTGATTGAGAGAATCTTACTTCATGGGTAACCTTTGCTCCAAATAACCAACCAGCTCCACGAGGGCTTACTGACCAACTTTCAACATCTTCAGGATCAGACCAAACAAGATGTTAAATTAATTAAGGAAATATTTTATTATTACCGAAAATTGTGTATATAACTTATAATTTATTATTTTAATATTTATATTAAAAATTTATAAGTAAAATTTTTATTAAACAATAGTGAGTCAAGGATATCACAGAAGGCTCCTTTGTGAGGAATCTCTTGATTCCTTTCAATTACTCTCACTTGATCTAGTGTTTTAATTTCGGGCGATAGTCCTCCATGAACACAAAGAACTTGTTCATCAATTATCTGAAAATAAACATATAAATTAGTTCACATTTGCTTAAAAGTTATTTATTGTAATATTGTCACAATATTGGACTGCAATTATTAATAATTTAATTTTAAAAAATCATGTGACTTCTGGTCTAAACTGGAAGTTCATATATAGTTAATCAGGGTCTCTGGCCCCTAAGCTTTCCATATCTGGTCTGCATTTTAGCAGTGTCTTGCCCCTGTATATCACACTTCCCCTGATAACAATCAAGTTATGCCAGTCATCTAACTAACTCCATACTGGAGAAAATTTTGAATTGAAATGCATGTGACTTCCAGTCTAGATCGGAAGTTGGTATATAGTTAATTGGGGGCTCCAATTCCTAAGCTTTCCATATCTGGTCTTGATTTTCATCTATCTAATTCCTTTCTCAAGATTAATAAAGAGACAACAGAATGCAGTAGATGACAATTGGGTTACATGTTAATGGGTACATTCCAATAGTAGTAAAGGAATAATTTTAATGAGCATATATAGATTTCATTTGAAAATTGTAGCCAAATAAGAATAATCTGATAAAGTAAAATCTGCCTAAAATGAACACTCTACAAATAAAAAATAAATCTCATAACTAAACAATTTGCCATTTAAAATATAAAATATGTAAAAATTATGTTAGCACTTCAATGAAAAAAAGATAAATATCTTCGCCATTAATCCTTTCCGCAACTGCACTATCACATTACATTACATTAAAGGAAGTAAAAGAGGTGTCCATATTTTTGCAACAGACTTAGCCCTATTAGGAAGTTGAAAGAAGAGGAAGGCATGTGAGCAGTGTGTGAAAAGAAGGCATGAGTGCCTGCATTGCTTTTATTGAACTGATAACAAAATATTTACTTAGAACAGTAGTGAACATGGGTTACAGTGTACTGTACATCTGGTCATGGTAGTAAACAAATTAATGCAGTAGATGACAATTGGGTTACATGTTAATGGGTACATTCCAATAGTAGTAAAGGAATAATTTTAATGAGGATACAAAAATGAATCCCATGCAAGTAAAGGATCATCAGTGACCATAGTTACAGATACTGGTTACATTGATACATATGCTATAATAGACTACAAGATGATAGTCAATGGCCGTACACCAATTTACCTACAAGTTGATCCAAGTTACTTACATAATTATACAGTAATTGACAGTTGTATTACATACCAAATGCTTACATTCCATTTATACGTGTAATAAACTGATGAAAAGTACAAAGGTGATTACAATATGAATGATGAGCGATTATGACATGATAACAGAGTATGATTACAATAGTACCATATGGTTGTAGATGTGGATATAAGTCAATTATCGATAACCGATTGCAGATAGGGTTTTATACATTGCCCTTAAGGGTTAGTTGTTATACTATGAGGGTCTGATGAGGTGCCTCGGTAGACAGAATGTGAAGTTAGTGGTATAGTGGCCCCTCCGCTGTAACCTCTGGTGCCTAAGGTCTTTGTTTTGTGCACGAATTGTGATAGTCCTTTCTACAATTTCCAGTTCTTGAATACATCTGCTGGGTTTGGCGGCCAGTTCTGTCTTCAACTAGGCATTCCCTGATGAATTGAAGCCTGTCGTCGTCATACTTTGGGCATGCATAGAAAAGGTAGTCCATGGTGGCCTCACTGGTCCCATCACAGTCGCAATATTATTGTCTCTTTTGCCGAAGTGAAGATAAGCAACAAAGTAGCCATGTCTGGTCAAGAACTGAGTGGTCTCAGCATCAGGAGTGTAATGTCTGGTCTTGAGATGGAGGATGATAGATGGAACAGAAGTATATGTTTTCCTCTCTGTGTCCACCTCACCCCATTCATCATGTTGCCAATCATTGATCGCCAGAGAGGCAAGCTGATTCCTTAACCAAGAGTGAGGCAGTTTCTAAAAGGTGTCCAGGAGGTACGCCTTCCTCGCTAACTTATCTGTGAGTTCATTGCCAGCATACCCCTGGTGAACAGGGATCCAACAGAAATGAAGTTCTCTGATTTTACCCAGACTGTTGGCCACTGAGATTAGGTTTGCCAAGAGGCCAATGTGTCTTTTTCTATTCTTGAGAATACTCAGGGCTGTTTTGCTGTCTGTATGAAAGCAGATTGGGCCTTTAAACCTTTGACTGTTGTCAGTTATATGGAGGATTGCCTTCAGGAATGCCCATTGCTTGGCTTGGATATTTGTGCAGTGAGCAGCCATCTTAAGATACACTTGATACTGGGTCTTGCCCTTGTTGTCCATGATCACAACCCCTGCTCCAGTTCCTTCCTCCCTCTTTGATCCATCTGTGTATATGTTCCACGCCACACAGGTATGGTCTTCTACAGGAGCAAGGCTAACTGTGTATGCCTGCACCTCGTGTGGGTTTGTTACCTATTTGTTCTCATTTGTCCCATTCAGACTGTGTGCCCAAATATCAACCATGATGCCTAGTAATCAATTCATTGATCTGGCTACAAGTTTTGTTGTTGCAGAACAAGAGGGATTAGCCCCTAGAAATGAGCTAGTACCAGGCAGTGTTCCTAGCCTGTATATGAACTGGAGTAAGGCCAGCTTTCATTGGCACTGCACAGTATGAGTGACAGATTTGGATTGTAAACCTTTGCTGGATGGATAGAAGCTGCTGTCTTATACAGGTGTTGTACAAGGCTTCATACCAAACGGGAATGGCATACAGAAGGACTGGCTCCATGGCGGCTTTGTAAATTCATTTACTATTCTTGTAATTGAGTCCCCAGTATTTGCCTGTTATCCATTTTAAGATGTTCACTTTTTGAGTCAACTGCTGACAGTGCATCTTAATGTGATGATGCCAGTTTAATTTTTCATCAAAATATATGCCTAGGTATTTTAATTCCCTAATGACTTTTATTTTATTAGTCGCTATATAGACCTATATATCTACATGGTGCCCATTTAAGCCAACTGCCTTTGTTACGTCTTATGTAGACAATGGCCCGGCACTTTTCAAACTTGACTGAAAGTTTGTTTTTACTACTCCATTCTTGAATAAAATTTAGATGAGTGTTGGTATTATCCGCTAACTTATTGCAGTTCCTGTGGGCCACCATTAGAAGCAGGTCGTCAGCAAAGGCTTGGAGTGCAGCCTCCTCTATGGTGTTGAAAGAGTTCAGGAGGTCATCTAATACAAGGTTCCACATCCCAGGCCCACATCTGAATTCCTGTGAACATCCTCTGTTAATCTGTTTCTCGATGTTGATTATGTTTGAGTGGAAAACCACTCCCCTGCTTGAGAAGTAGCTATTGGTGAGCTTTAGGATGTTTAGCAAGCAGTTTGTGTCCTTTAACCTCTTGATAACACTCGGCCACCATAGGTGGTCTAATGCCTTGAGGAAATCAATGCTGACAAGTAATACATGACTGTTCTTATCCCATGCCTTTAGAATGAAAGACTTTACATTCAGGGCCGCATCTATAGTTGATTTCCCTTGTCGAAAACCATATTGGTGCAAGCTTTGATGTCCGTTGTAGGAAAGATGCCAGTTGATTCATCCAATCAATAGACCATCAAGAGCCTTCCCCAGTACTGGGAGAAAGCTAATTGGACTATAATGATTCAGCATGGATGGTGTGTCCTCTTTTGGAATAAGTTTGATGTTTCCCACTTTCCAGTTGCTGGGAAAGAGGCCTGTTTCCAAGCACTTATTAAAGAGGTGGACCAGGGCCATCAGAATTTTCTTGAATATCACAATAACAAACACATAACCATTAAATATACAGTAACTAACATTTACTAATCATCTCATACAATCAAATGGAAAAGATAAACACATATGTGTTTGTTATCTTTTCCATGTAAGTGTTAACATAATTTTGACATACTCTTCAATATTATATGCCAGAAACCTGTCTAACATAAACCCTGAAGACTTTTGGAAACTAATTGTATAACAATCTATAAAAAGGAATTTTTTTAGTATACATTAGCTAAACTCTAAATCATAATTAATGCTGTAACTTTCAGGCTTGGATCATGACTGACTTCTCAGAGTACAGTGGTACCTTCTACTTTGATCAACTCTAACTTCAAATGCTAAATTTGAGAGAGAGATTTGACCCATAGTTTGAATGATGCTTTTATATTTTAACTGCATATTTTTTCACTGTGTATGCACACTGAAAAAATATACTTGGTGTAAATGCCATTTTTTTGTGCATCTAGATTCTTTCTTGCTCCCACTTTAAATGCATCTCTGGAATTATGCTCATATTTTCAGTGCTTTATATATATTATATATACACAAATACCATATAATAAAATATATATTTTATTTATAGTTTTCATTTTTAACTTATTATTTAAGNCAGAAACCTGTCTAACATAAACCCTGAAGACTTTTGGAAACTAATTGTATAACAATCTATAAAAAGGAATTTTTTTAGTATACATTAGCTAAACTCTAAATCATAATTAATGCTGTAACTTTCAGGCTTGGATCATGACTGACTTCTCAGAGTACAGTGGTACCTTCTACTTTGATCAACTCTAACTTCAAATGCTAAATTTGAGAGAGAGATTTGACCCATAGTTTGAATGATGCTTTTATATTTTAACTGCATATTTTTTCACTGTGTATGCACACTGAAAAAATATACTTGGTGTAAATGCCATTTTTTTGTGCATCTAGATTCTTTCTTGCTCCCACTTTAAATGCATCTCTGGAATTATGCTCATATTTTCAGTGCTTTATATATATTATATATACACAAATACCATATAATAAAATATATATTTTATTTATAGTTTTCATTTTTAACTTATTATTTAAGACATTTAATTGTGTTATTTTTACTTTAAATTACATGTATTTGCTGTTTAAGGATAATTCACTGTAAGGCTAATTCACAGACCCTAAACAAAGTTGGTATTGTTTAGGGGCTGTGAATGAATTAATTCACTTTTCATTATTTCTAATGGGAAAAATTAATCCAAACTTAAAACTAAGCAGAGTTTGAATGGCCTCCTGAAAAATTAAATTTGAAGTATGGGACACAACTGTTTTTTCCCCCTTTTCTCAAGACTGCTCTCACTGATTGGCAAGTAGCTGCGACAATACAAAACCAACTTTCGTAAATACAGAAAAAGCTTGATATAATGCACCACCATTGGACCAAAAAATTGGTCTGTTATAACAAAAATCGTGATTACTTGTTATTATGGATTCATCTGTTATATTGAAAAATCCATTACTCTACAATAGAATCACATTAGAATGGATCTTAATAATGGACCCAGAGAAAATATTACAGTTCATGAATGTTTTCTCCAGGTCCAAATGCCAAATCAATGTATTTTTACTCATTTCAGCAGATTTATTACCTTGAGTATAAAAGGATTCTACTGTATACAGTAATATTGACTTGTCCATTACTGTATATTGATATTGTGGACAAAATTTCAGATGTAAAGTATATAATCCAGATTTTTATTAAACTTGTAAAAACAATATATCTATCTATCTGTAAATCTACAATATAAACCTAAAGCTTATGAACTGGTGATGGTTTATTTATGAGTGTTATATAATTAAGTACCCAGTTTCTTGAAATACAGTATAAACCTAAAGGTTTTTTTTCTTTTATAATCCTTTCTATCAATACATTATTGTTTATATTATGAGATCATTTTATTTTTATACAGAGTTCAAGTATTCATTTCATGGAAGCTACTATATTTTAAATATAGATTGATGATAAGTTTGATGTTTCCCACTTTCCAGTTGCTGGGGAAGAGGCCTGTTTCCAAGCACTTATTAAAGAGGTGGACCAGGGCCATCAGAATTTTCTTGAATANATTATTATTATTTAAAATTTTACTTAATTAACTACTTTTCATAGTATAATATTGATTATTTTAATAAGTCAATATAATTTATCTGCCATTGCTCTAAATTTATCTAGATTCCAGAAAATAATTTTATTATATTCCAAGATAAAGAATAATAAAATACTAGGTATCTATAAAATCTGTGTACACTCTTAAATATTAATAGTTTATAAAAGAAATAATGTATAAAAAACATTTATAAGCCTAATGCACCTAGTTTTTTCACATTATTTCAAAAATTAACCATTATTTTTCTTACCCATTATTTACTTATTTATTTTTTTGGAATTAAAAAATGTTTCTTTTCAGAATTGTTATTGACACATGGCTTTTCTAGAAGAGAAAGTAAACAGTGTTCTTTGGTTGGCTGAGCTAAAATCCATCATTTCTGTGAAAAGAAGGGTCCATGGGTCAATAACAATTCTGAAATAAAAAATCATTTTGAAGTTTCAAATAAATAAATAACAGATAAGAAGAAGATTTTTTGAAATAAAGAGAAGAAACCTAGACAAATCAAGTTTGTGTTTTTTACAAATAATTCTACCACATATAGTTACAAAATTATTAATATTTAAAAGTGTACTGTACATGGACTTCATAGTTACAGTACCCTGTATATAACAAAAGATTTAAATTATAGTTTACATTTTAATTTTCTAATATCATAAAAATTAAATTTTGAAAAGGAAAAGTTAAATAAATTGTTCAATACTTAATTACTACTTTATTATTTTCCTAATAAAATTATTATTAATACACTCACAGCAGCAACAGTGAGCAAATCAAATACTTTACAACAATACCGCCAAGCATTTGCATTTCCATATTTTGTCTGACATTCATCTGAAAATATAAACAAAATAAATATATAAATACATAAAAAAATGAAATATTTCAAATTTAATAATGTATTTCAATTATTTTTTACCCTATGAAAATATTTGAATCATTACAATAATTATAAAATATCTCCATAATAAAAATAAACATAACATTATTATATGAATAAACATGACATGTTAAGAGACATTTTTCAACTTATAATACTTACATAATACATTTAAGTACAGAAACTCATTGAGCACTAATCAATCAATTGATCATTGATCACTGAGAAAGAAAATCCTAACCAATTTTGATAAGAAAATTAATAATTTCCACTTTTTGCTGAAGCATATATGGTAGCAGATAAGGTAGGTGGTGAATAGTTTGAAATAATAATGTGGCATATATGCTTCAGGGAAAAGTGGAAATCTATTAATAAAACTTATATATATAATTATTTGTTTTAAACATACAAAATTGAAGAAATTCATATGTTTGAAAGAAAATTATAATAAAATAATAAATTTAAATAATTCTACATGTTTTTATATCTATAAATAACAAAGGTATTCAAAAATAAACATATATAAATTTTTGATTTATTACATTGCTTTTTAAATCAATTTTATTAAAATTTATTTTTTATTATCATCTAAATTGGATTTTATATTATACCTCTTTTTTATCATAAATTGCATCAGATAAGACAAATATCAAAAAGAATTTAGAAAACAAAATTCAAGCTTAAACAACTTTTTAATGAAATTTAATTTAAAAAAAAAGCAATTGAAATAATTTTTAAATTAAAAATAGTTAAAACTTTTTAATCAATAAAATCAGTTATTACTGATGTAAAAAAGGACATGAAACCATCTCTCCCATGTAGAAGTCCTTTTATAAAGTGCCTTAATCAAGGTTCCTCCAACTCCCTCATAGCATCATCATCATCATTTTATTATTCCATAAGTTACTAATTTAAAATTCACTAAGTATTTATTATTTCGTAAAATAATTTTGAAAAAAATAAAAGTTTATATTTTCTCCAAAATCATTTGATGTGACTTGAAATGTATATTCTATTCTCTTTCAAATTTAAATCTTTGAGCAAGAATATGTGATTATCAGTTAGTATCATTAGCATATTAAAATTGATGGTTCTTTCTTTAAGCAAAAAAGTATAAATTCTCCAATTTTCCTAGGTTTGTTTCTCTAGCATAAATATAATGAAAAAAAAAAAGCTGGCAATTAGCAATTAATGTAAATAAAAGTTATTTGGTTAAATTGAAAGCTGATATATGGGTAATTTGAAATGTGAATTAATATATTATGATAAGTATAGATGTACTTACCATGATATATATTATAACATTACCTTGTAGTGTTAGCATAAATTAAACAAAATTTAAATTTATTTACAAATTATTATTTTCAGATAATAGAACGAATAATAATAGTTTTATCAAAAATATTTGTAAGTACATAGTAATTTTATTTAAGTACTTTTTTATATTGTATGACAATTATGTATCTATGTGTATTTACATTTCCATACTTCAATCATCGATCATGCTCAATGAAGTTAGTTCCAACTTGCATTCTAGATTACATAATTTATAATCATGTTCATCAGAGACATAAATTTACTTGTATATTATTAAGAAGAATAAAGATATTACTATACAGACATTAAAACACAGACTGAAAATAATAAATAATAAGATATTTTAAGTAACAAGCACTGTTACTTATCATATACAGTAGAAACAGTGAATAAGTGAAAGAACAGCCTTGATATATAATATAATTACAGATTATGGATTAACTTAAACTGAAACAAATTACTATAGAAAAAAGCATTGAAACTGAATAAAAATAATTGAATAATTGCATGTAGAAATAATATTAAACACAATGAATTTTATAAAATACATATTAAAAATATATAATAAATGAAAGATTGAAATCCATTTCTGAATCTTCAGATGTAGAAAATTTGGTTTAACGAAGACCTTAATATTTTTGATATTTCTTAAAATCTCGGAATATCATTTTGATGAAATAATCAAAAAACTGAGATAGAGAAAAAAGAAAAAATAATAGTTTTAAAAAAATGACTGTAAAAAACCTTGATCTGAAAATTGAAATAGCAGAATTTTTGTAATATGTAAAAAATTACATCATCTTGTTAATATAATTATAAAGAACCCATCAAAATCAAGAGTTTTATTCAATTAATATACAATAAGCTCATTTAAAATTCTACACAAAAATTATCAGTACAGCAAGTGATTTCCAAACCATTTGTAGGTGATTTGTGTGTACCTGTTTTCTGGTACCATGAGGCTCCTCTCTCTCAATGGCTTCTTTAAATTTTGCATCTTAAGTCCCAGGGTGACAATTTAGCATTCCTAAGACTAACCAACTTCAGCTGGCAGAGTTTCAGATTACTATTCAGAGTAGTGTCGACACACTTCATTGCAATCTTATTGGCTGTTACAAAACTCAATGCACTAACAGTTGTATGTTCAAGTCTATTCTTTTAGTTAGTAGATTTGTTAAGAAAGCTATCAATAGGTATTAAGTAATGAACTGGACAGTTAGAATTGTGTTTTGCTCTAATCATAAAATAATAGTAAAATAAAAACAGATTGGCACTAAAAGTTGTTAGATGATGGTGTGGTCAATAGCAAAGAAACTAATTTATCAAAAAAATTAATGCATAAGTAGCAAACAAAGCAGGAATTCACAGTAGTGGTGAGCAATGGGTTGTTCAAATGGTTAAGAAAAAACTAGAACCGTTAGATTGTGTTTGAGTGCCTGACGTGTTTGTCACTTGCCTTCTCATAGACTAAACATTCTTACTTTGCCATCCATCACATCTAAACCATTGCATCTTTCTCTAATCTTTCTTTTCAGCATAAGGGCTTTAATTTGATACCTGAACCATAACTTTTTACATCTTAGCTGCAAATTAAGATTACAAGCAACTGTAAATCACTTCTATCACAAGTTTAATTTCAAATTTAGCTTATGCATTTTAACTATTATTGTTTACTTTTAAACATCGAAGTTTGCTGTGAAACTACCACCAAAACAAATCTAAAGGATAGAATTTTTTAAAGTAAAATTTCTATCAGTTAGCATCTATACATGAATTACTGTATGAGTATGTTATAGAATTTTCATCTAACATGTAAATGTAAAATTAGTCTACTTTTCAATTACTTTATGTCCAAAATAAACCATATGCAACTTTTGTTGCATATGGTTTATTTTGGACATAAATAGGTATTTTGGACATTGCATGGTAAATAGAGAGAACATAAGTTAATATTTATATAGCAAAGGTTCCATTTGTTAAATATCACAATTCAACATTACAATAGTAAATTATCTTACCATAAAAACCATATACTTGAGTTATCTGTCTGCTTTCATGATTTCCTCTTAATAATGTAATTCTGTCTGGCCATCTTTAAAAAAAGTAATTATATAATTAGAACATTGTATAAAAATTCTGTATAAATGCTGAAAATTCTTATTTTTGCAAAGCCTCTATTATAACATTAATTTCCAAATATAACAAATATAATAATGATTGTTACTAGTGATAACCTGAAACATTTATGCATATCTCTCACTAGTAATTTTCTTTTGTCAATGAATATTGAGAGATCTGAATAGAAGAAAGGTAAGTTAGTCCAAATTTTGTTTTCATTCTGAGTAAAAATGAAACCTAAACCATCCTGTCAGAATGTAATGCATGTCCTTAGTATACTGCAGGGATGTCCTAACTTTCTTGACTGCAAATGTCTTCAAGTATTCCTTGACCTTCTATTGACACCCTCTTTTTTTTTTGTTAATACAGTTAATAACAAATAAATCTGATAAGCCAGTATTACTTCATACACCATTTTCATAAAAAAAGTCTACTTTCATTTGTACATTGTATTTACTGAACTACTTTTGTGATTTCATTAAAGAATTCATTAAAAGATTTTTAATGAACCACTTTCATGGACTTTTAAATAAATTTTGACTTCCAAAAAGTCTTATTGACCCCCAGGATCAACATCAGCTACTCTGGAAACTCTGGCGTAATATGATAATTTTTTTAAGATGTCAAATATCTTTGTGCAATAAAACTAATTTTACTACAAATAAAAATAATTGTTATCATAGATAATTCACAACTACAGTAGAGCGTCGTTTATCTGAATCAATTGGGGACTGGGGTGGTTCGGATAACTTATTTTTCAGATAACGAATCATGTACGAAAAAATATATTAATTTATCCCATGTTGAAATTTCTCTCCATTGCGTGTCGCTTTGCGTTGAATTTTCGTCGATGTTAAGCCTAACGAAGACTGTTGTATCGTTAAAAATTATTTTTTTATTTTGTACAAACAAAATAAATTTATTGAAAAATATAAAAACAATAAAAAATTATACTTCAGATGTTAATTTAGTATCAAAAATGTAAAATATTTGAGTAGCCCGAGAAATAGCCGAAGATTGCAGCGCCACAGCACTAGTGAAAATTTAAATTTGCCGACTGGAATGCTTTCGGATAACGGACATTTCAGATAACCAGCTTTCGGAAAAACAATGCTCTACTGTAATATGATTTTAAAATATTGTTATAAAAAAATATTAATCATTTTTATTAAAACAATGAGATAAAAACAACAAGAGATGCCACTTATTAATAATAAGAGATAAATCTAAGAAAAAACTGTTTATTGGCATTACAGGTAAATATGTTTAATTGAGGAGTACTTTCAACAATATATAACCATCTTCTTCAGGTAATATGATGGATATAACACTAGAACTCTAGAGATAAAATGCATTTTCAAATTAATTAATGGAATTAATTCCATTAATTAGATGGTTATATACTGTAGAAAGCATTCCTCAATTAAACGTATTTACCCGTAATGCCAATAGACAGTTTTTAAATTTATCTTTTATTATTTTTATTAAAAATTTTAAAAATTACATTTTAATAAAAAGAAATACAAGTAGAAAGAATCAAAGTGAACTGAACACAATTTGATAAGACTATGGATGAAAAAATTTAATTTTCAATAAATCATATAAATAATACAGTCGACCCCCCTATAACACGGTAGATACATTCCGGTTTTTATGAATCCATTTTCTACGAGTCCAGCCAATCACAGCTTGACACATATGCAGTTTACGGACTACGGCTGTTTGAAAGGTTTCTTTCATAAAATTAATCGATTCTAGACTAATTTGACTCAACATTTCCAAAATACGTATAATTTTTTGGGAATAATCCATATAAGCTATGCTATAAACAAAAAATTGTAGGATTACTTACCGAGCGTGCACCATTCGACTACGCCATTGCTTAAGCTTGTCATGGAGCTTGTCATCAAATGGCACTCGCATGCTTCCTGATAAATTATTTTTTTTGCGAAAAATTTGCTGAACTTTGGAGACATCATTAATATAAATATAATTTTTATGGATGTCAGATAATAAATGGTTTTTAGTAGGTCCGCTGCTCGTTTAAACTCAACAGTTTGTGCAATATCCACTATTGGTCTAGATTCGACCAATCCTATCACGACACGAGTCGGCAATGACGTTTTACCAAATTATAGGAGTTTTATTAGTATGTTTACAGTCGCAATTTTTTTGCCGTGATATAGGAATCCGAACTATAGGAACTCATGGGGGGGTCGACTGTAACTGAAATAGCCTTTAAAAAATGAATTGCAATTACTTTATGTCCAAAATAAACCATATGCAACAAAAGTCTATCTTTTGCATGGTAAATAGGGAGAATGTAAGTTAATATTTATATAGCAAACTAACTTTTCATGAAGAATTCAATTAAATACATTTTGTACATATGTATAAATACTTGATGTTGATATTTATTTTTCATACAAAATGCTATCTCTAAAAATATTATCACTTTAGGAAGAATTATTAATATTAACTTTATATTCATAATATAAAGTTACTTCTACTAATACAGAATAAAGTTTAAAAAAATTTTACAATTTTTACAACTTTATAGCTTGCAGAAAGCTACTGAAAATGAAAATCAAACTTGATAAGATTGTGAAAAGCTATATAAAAAATGCTGATGAAGTAAATAGATCCTTCATAAGAAGAAATACGAGGGGTGTTCAAAAAGTATCGGACCTTTGGTCGGCAAAAATACATTTATTGATTTTGAGGTACAAAACCCTAATCTCCTTCAAAGTAGTCTCTCCTTGGTAATGTATACACTTCTCCCAGCACTCCTGCCATTGCTGGAAACACTGCTGAAATGCATCTTTTGGAATGGCCATCAGCTGGTCCGTCACATTCTGCATGATGTCTTCTCTTGACTAAAATCAGGTTCCTTTTAGAGGCATTTTCAGCTTGGGAAATAGCCAAAAGTCACATGGAGCCATGTCGAGAGAGTACGGAGTGTGACGAACCACAGGAATGTTGTGTTTGGTGACGAAAGTCCGAATCAGATGCGCAGAATGGGCATGATGGAGCTGCCAAGGTTTGATTGACCACAGATCTGGTCGTTTGCATCGCACAGCATCACAAAGATGATGAAAAACCTCCTGGTAGTACTCCTTTGCAATGGTTTGGTCTTATGGTGTGTACTCAAGATACACCATCCCACAGGAGTAAAAAAAAAAAACTGTCAACATGACCTTGAAATTGCTGCAGACCTGCCACGCTTTTTTTGGCCTTGAGGATCGTCCCCGAAAGTTTGCTGAATCTTGCATATGGTTTCCACTTGGGTACCGCCAAGCTTTTGGCAAAATTTGATGCAATATCACAGCTCAATTGTTCAGTCATTTTCCAACTTAGTGGAATCTGACAAGCGCTCACTATATGTCCTCACTCATAAACCGACTGCCAGCGACTGACGCTTCCTGTAGGAGGGAAAAAATTCAGGACTGTGCATGAATGGCCCCTCCACAACTCCACTGAAAAAGACCTCCCATGCATCATTGGTTTACACGGGAAAAATAAAGATCCGATACTTTTTGAACACCCCTTGTATTTTTGGGGCTGGTAAAAAGTATCAAATTACAAAATAATATGCAGGATCTTTTTTAAAATATTTTAATTATTTATTTATATGTTAAATGAATCTGAATGTTCAATAAAATGGTTCTCTAAACAGTAATAATTTTTGTTAAAAAGAAGATAAAATAGATTGAAATTATATGTCAATATTGTGTTATTTGTGATACTTTTGTTTTTGTGTATCTGTTGTAATAATCTTTTTCTTCCCATTTATTTAACATTGTATGAGATCTAAATGTATTACATTGATCTCATATATTATTCCTCCTCTCAATTTTTTTAAAGTAAATTTTTATCTTTTTATTCTAAGTTCATTATTATATACCATATATTTTGGCTGATAATGAAAACCTAAATAAGACAAGACAACAAAACCAAATTTCATCCTAAATTGGATACTTTTAGCTCATGTCTGTTGTATAAGATCAGCAGATAGTTTAACATCTTGTTAAACATCTGTGCTGATCTGTGTTTAAGATCTGTTAACTATCCTAATGTATTATTCATTTGGTATATATCACCATATTGATGATTGCTACCCAATCATCAATATGGTGATATATACCAAATGAATAATACATTAGGATGCAGAATGCACAGATGCAAGTATGCAATGTTTAGAAAAATAGTTTCTGTAAAACATTGTAGTCTGCACATGATCAGATTGCATATAAACATTGAGGAGACAGCATATTTCTTTTATCTGTGTTTATTGATAGTGCAGTTGTAAGGTGGGTCATGAAAACTACATGGTTGTTTTGTGTGAAATTTTAAAGTAACTAATTTTGTATCTGGCCTATAACATGCCCTCAGGTTTTGTGATACACTTTTGATGATTCAAGTGATGTCTTATCTGCCAAAATATACAGTATAAACAGCATTATTATTATAAAAATATTTTATTCTGGATTAATACTTACTTTGCTTTTAATGTCAATAATCGTGTAAAAGTTTCTAAACTATAATAACCTCTATCTACAAAGTCACCCTTTAAAAAATTAGAAGGTAATTAGTAAGACAATATAAATAATTTAAAATCTAACAAATAAAAAAATTTATTTTATTTTTATTGTTAACTAACATTTTTTAAATAAAATTTTAATGCCATAAACAATAAATTTATAGGAAATATGCTAAAAAAACACTTACAAGAAATATATAATTTGTATCTGGAACTCTTCCACCTGTTCTAAATAATTCTTCTAAATCATAAAACTGAAAAATTGTTTTTTTTTTACTTTTATATATATATAAACAAATATCAAATTATCTTTTATATATAATTTAAATTATAATATAAGACCAAATCAATTTCATTTTACAGAAAAATAAAAAAATTAATAATTGCTTAATCATGTTACATAATTAGTAAATTCAATTTTGTATATTAAAGTTAAGGCTATTTATAATATACAAAAAAAACTTTTTTTTGGAGTTGAATTTGTATTTATTAAATCGTCATTTTACAATCCATCAAAATAAATATTTTCAAACGATATACTCTTGTTAATTTTGGCATTGATATTAAACATATATTCATCATGGCATTATGCATCTCAACTGAAAATGGAACAAAAATTCAATTCTGTTAATTAGCTAATTTAGTATGAATTTAAAAAAGAAATTAAGAATTACCTTTAAAATAATTTGAAGTCTAAATGTATCTACTTATTACTTCAAACAACCTTCATAATTTCTTGATACACTTCTATTTACAGATCTAAAGCACTTATTTAAAGCTACAGATTCCAACTGGATTTCATTAAACTAACACTTCACACCTTTCTCCAGCAAATTTATTGTTTCCTCACTAATGTTTTTGGATGTCTAACACCCATCATCAGGGAACCTTATAAAAAAATAACAATTCTATGATTGCCTGATAATGGGCATTAAAGAAAACAATAAATTTGCTGGAAAAAGAAGGTATTAAATGTTTTACTTATTTATTTTTCTAAATAATTTCAAATGAAAAGCATTTTAATTTCTCCTGTAATTTTAAAAAATAAAGAGAATTTACAGAAACTCTTCAGTTATGTGTGTAATGATAAATATACCATTAAATTAGGTCAAATTCTTTGGGATAAACTAGTGTATATTCTAGAATCATACAATTATTTACATGTTAGATTTCTAAATAAATATTTACACATGTACATTTTAACAAATATTTTGTATATTACTAATCAGCATGATGCTTACAACATGCATCATGCTTGAGCTTGACTCAGTTAGTTTCTCCTCTTTATATATACTGTATATACCCATGGATGTATGAGTTGGGGAAGCAGAGATGAGAATTGGCCTGCTTCTCCAGCAACTCTGGGCAAAACAAGAACAAAGAAAGCATACAGATTAACAGATTATTGGTAATAGCAAATTAAAAATTGGTACTTGTGCTTTTATTTGTGTAAAATTTCAGACAGCATAAAATTTATTAAGTATCTAATTGTGATGCAAAAGGTAAAGCTTTGGCTTGCATGGTTGACCTAGTTAGAGAAACATCATAATTTCAGACTCAGTAGAACTATTCTATAATTGCTTTCTAAATCAGAGTACTATTCCTAACTTGTAGCTGTCAAATCTAAGATATCAACCACAATGCACCTCTCTTATTTGCAATATTCAAAAAATTCCCATATTATCTTTTAATGCTTTTAATGTTAGTGATTTATATGAACTTTTATATTGTCTTTTTAACACACACACACAAAACATATTCTTTATTTGCCACAGATTAAAAATAGACAAGAGTGTAGATATGGGCAATCATTAACTTTATATTTTAAGATTATGGAATTGATTTGAATGCAACTGCAGAAACTCTATACCAGGATGATGTTTAGAGTTTCTGCACAATAAGAATCTATTGTGTTTGTTAAAACAGATTGAGACATCAAACCTAGTGCATTTCATGTGTCCATAACAAAAGATGTCTGCTTAAGAGAGGTCAATTGTAATGAAGTTATTCTTTTATATCACATGACAAAAATTTAAATTTATCATCAATGTCAAAATTTTAGATATCATACAACTTTACAATGCAAACTAAAGTGTCAAAAAATGTTAAGGATAGGTCTCTGAAGGGGATTAGCTGACCTGTAGTATATCATAACTAGAAATTCCCTGTCAAGCATAACAGAATACTTTTTATGAAAAAGTAGAGATTGAAGAATTAAAAAGAGTAGAGATTTCTAGAAATTCAAGAAGAGTTGCTAATATTTCTACAAATTAAGTAGTTTATACTATCTGTCATAACATAAAGAGCAACAAAACAAAGTTTCACCTGAAGTGGGCAAAAATAGTAAAAATTATAAAAAATTCATTTACACAGATTTATGCCTTTATATTAAAATTTTTCTTTATATAATTATACACTACATCCTGAGTAAACACTCTATTGTCTTTTAAAAGATTTCCATGCTGTCTTCTTTTAGTAATAAACACCTTAATATTGATGACTGACATGGTGATGCCATTTCTGCAGCCCTTGACAAAACCATTTCTTAATTCCACATTAATAAAACAAAGATAAATTGTATGTACATTAGTTAGATGAGCAATAACACCTTGTAAATAATGGGCTCATTAGACAGTTACTTTCAATTGGATAATAGAACGTCACATGGTCACTATGGAAAGTTTTTTTAAACATTTGTTATAGAAGTGAGACAATGAGGCTAACTTTTTTAAAGTTTAAAATATGCCATTTGTCAAAATATTTTAAAATTCAACTTAACAGAAATTTCTTTGTCAAGCATGAATGTTACATGATCACTGCAATTACCAATCTGAAATCGATAAAATGTTTACTTGTATTCTATACCTAATATTTTTGCAAAATAAATAGCCTATACTTTCCGTCAGAACATAAACATAAATATAACAAAGTTTCATCTGCAAGGAAAAATTACAAGAGTTATAAGGAATTCACACACGCGTGCGGCAACAACTTTTATATTTGTAATATCAATCAGCATATTTAAATTTCAAAAACAATATATTAGTCAAATAAAACTAAAAATGTAATATCCATAAAATTCTCTAAAAAATATTTTTAACTCTTTTCTAATTCCTCATAATTATTCTTCACACTTTCAATTTGAGAGTAGGTGTTAATGAACTAGTCTAAAAATGAAAATTACAAATGATTATAATTTAAACAAACAAAGTACAATTTATCATTTTTCAAATTTCATTTTAATAATTTTGATTTTGTAATAAATGAGAGAATACTTTTTCTGGAGAAACTGGAGAAAAATTTCACTCCAGTTTAATAATGTTTTGTAATATTTAGGAAATTTATGAAGGAACAATTTAATAGATTTATAAATAAAAACTACTTTTACTTTTCCCTCTTTCTGAAGATACACAGTTTTATGGTTATGAATTTATAACAAAATAAATGATTTTTATATAATAAAACATGTTAACTTCCTACTGCAGATCTACATACAAGTCTAAATATTAATATTAGGATTTGTAATGGACAAAAACAATGCAAATTAAAAGTTTTTGGTTCTTAAACACTATGTAATGTAATAAATTCAAACACTTGGCATTCTATTGTGGCAGTACGCCATAATTTTGTATATACGTGCTAGTCGTAAGCCTAGTATTAATTATTCGATCTTGCGTTCTTTGTTTCCCTATTTCTCGATCTTTCCATTCTTCACTTCCTTATCGGTGGGGGCAACACTGTTCCGAGAACGAGGTGAGAAGAATAAAGAGAGAGGACCCCAAGGCATGTGGGGTGAGGAGATAATGGTCATTCTTGATTCAGACTCAAGAGCGAGCGGATGGTGAACAAGGAGTTCAAGATTGTTGTTACGAAGAACAGAAAGAAGATGAATTGTCTATCCAATCAAGAGAAGAATTGAGTATACTCTGGTCAAGAATTATATATATCGGCGGACTAGAACACAGTTCCCCCAACTGGAAGACCCCAGAGCAATACAATATCCTGGTTACCCTCTACTCTATCTTTTCTATATATCTAAATATCTGTATTACTCTATCCTCATTCCATTATTTTCTCCTAGTTTTTAAGTTAGTTTATGGTCTTAGTTATAGAAATTCAAGTAATTCTTCATTGTATTCCATTGTCCTGAACTCATCTCTGTTGCGTGACACCACGTGCATAAAGCCTTTGTTCCCTTATTGTACATGTGTGAGGTCCAGAGTTGGGATCTGAATTGTTTATTGTACAGATACCATGCAATTAGGTGAGAACCTGTGTTTGTTTTTGATCTTTTCGTCATAAATAAATTTTGTTTTGCCTATATATTTGTACGTTTTGTCCTTTCGGGGATTCATGCACAATTGCATGTCTTAACACTATCATCTTATTTTAGTTCAGTTGATACATGTTTAAAATACATATTTCAAGCATAACATGACCCTCATCAGCCAACTTGGATTATTTATTAACTGGGTATCATGGATGAATACATATTTATACAGGTAGTCCTCAGTTTACGCCACAGTTCTTACAAAAGCTGGCGCAAATCTAATTGGTGTAAAATGAACCCATATTTACACTGAGGTATAGGGTTAGGTTCCACATAAGTGAAAAATACGCAAATAATTTTGTTTATTAATACTATATAATCAAAGTACAAGTAAATTTAATTTTTAAAATGTATTTTATCATAAAATAAAGTTAAATGTTTTTATTAAAAATTTTAGTTTCAGATCTCTTACATTTTTCGGAAAAAGTATCCATCTTTAATTGTTTACATTTTTGTTTTCTTTCATTGAGAATTTCAGAATATGGTCGAATGGATGCGACGATACTCCTTTTTACATTCGCACTTCGCTCCCAATCATTGTCTAACTCACAAAGTTCAACCGTCAGACTTTCCATAGTTGAAAAGATACATTAACCCGACGCAGAGCTACGGCCGAGCAAAGACACTGATTGGTCGACCACTGGTCGCCGTAGCACATATGTAAGGTCAGTTTGAGTGGGAAAATTAAGGAGAGATAGATATCGTCTGGCCAACAAGAAGTAGATTTGTCTCAATAACGAAAGTTTGTGATCACCGGAAGTGCTACTGCATTGTAAGGTTTTCAGTTTTCCTGAACGAACTGATACAGGATAAGTCCAATGGCGCTATGGATTTGGACGCCATTTATTGGACTATTAAGTTTGATAACTTGACTTGTGGCTACCTAAACGTTTAGTATTTTAATATTAATTTAATACCCAATAATATTAAACAGAAAAAATAAATATATTCAATAAAAATCTTTGTTTTAACGAATGTACAATGTCGCGGCTCGGTAAATACGTCAATGCTGAAACGAAAATCAGTCTGGCATAGGGAAAATCGGGGAATTACACAGCAAAATCGCAAATTGTGCAGCAGCATTGTTGTGAATCGGCGTAAATTGAACCGGCGTAAACCGAGGACTACCTATACATTTAAAAAATTGCCAGAACAAATTCACATATGGAAAAAAATATATTTCTTTTCAGACTATACATACAATTGAGTCCATATCCTTCTGTCCCTTCACACGCTTTGCAGAGGCAATAACAAATCTATGGCGATACCAACCTTTTATTTGAGGCTACATGTCCGCTGTCCAATGTAAATAAGTTAAAAGTCCTCTAGCACATATATGAACAGTCTGAAAAGAAATATATTTTTTTCTATATGTGAATTCATCCTGGCAATTTTTTTAAATGTAATTATTAATTTTATAATTGTGTTAGCCACCGCTAGAAAACTTTTTAACTTATTTACATTGTATGGCAGACATGTAGCCTCAAATAAAAGGTCGGTATCACCATAGATTTGTTATTGCCTCTGCAAAGCGTGTGAAGGGACAGGAGATGGACTCAATTATATGTATAGTCTAAAAAAAAATATATTTTTTTCTACATATTTATACAGCTTACACATTTATTGTCTATCTATCTTCGTTGTTTCCCTTTTGGATGACAAAATTAAAAGATGGATGTACCATCGGTATGAGATTTTTTGCTTACATCTGTATTCTTTCTTATCTGTGTTTATTCTTGGTTAAGATGCAATATAATATTAAATTTCAATTCAAATTCTGTCTTTTACTATTATTTAAAATTCATATTGACTACATAGTGTTTAAGAGTCAAAGAAGAGTCACAACACAATTTCAGATTATATATATATATATATATATGATGTTATATAACACAGTCAAATCACCAGCATTTGGTTATTTACACGAAAACACATCTATCTGTAAAATAATTTTAGATTAAGTTCTGCTACTGTAATGAAATGTGCAAAATAAAATTTAATATTCTTTACAGAAATGTATGTTAAATTTCATATGCTTTCTTACCAATTTAATAATTTCTTCTAGTTGTGGACCACAAAAATTTGCTGAGCACCGAGTTGCAGTGTATATAGGGGTGATTGTTATGGCCCAGTTTAAATGAATATTCACAAGTATGTGTATCTTATTACACAAGTACACTAAAGTACATAAACTGATAACAACATTCAGCACTAATGAAGATAGCCAAAACTGAGACAAACATTTGTATTAGAAAATTTTCAATGACTTTAATCAAGCAGTCTTTGTTTATTGTATAATAATAAATAATTTTGGTTTGACTAATGTTCTTTTAACATTCAATTAGATATTCTTAAATAATTCATGAAGCTAAACACAAGTTAATTTTTACTTTTTTTTTTTTTCAAAATACAAAAGCAATCAAATATAAATTTAAATTTCTGGATATTTTCACAACACAATAAGGCTAATTTCTAATTTATTTAATAGCAAAAAATTTAATCTGAAATAGTTCTTTATGCCTATTTTTAGACAATATAAGTTTAAATATAACCTGAATAATCCAGCAATTTAAGTTTATATTTGTCTATTAAAATTGGGCTTTAATTATAAACATACACAACATAACAACTTTATGGAAAATTAAATTATTTTCTGTAAAATTGTTGTTATATGCCTGAAGATGTCTGTTATAAACAGATGAAAATGTTAGTAAATATTTCTTAATTTCAAGTGTGCTGTTATTGGTATGTTGTGTATGTTTATTCTATCCCAGTATTGGAGAGTTATTGGGCTTTAATTATATTGTATATTTGTATTAAAATGACAAATAAATTATTTATAATTATAAAAATTTAGTTCTGTAATTTAAATAACTTAAAATTGTCAAGATACAAGAGTGCTAATTTTGTACATTTTTATTGTATAAAAAAGTAACTTTAAATGAAAATGATTTTTAACTTTATTATAAAGATTTATAAAATTATCTCGTTTAAAAATAAATAATACAAATTTTAAATTATATAAATAATACCTGTCCATGGATGTCACCACAAACTGTAACAGGCGTGCTAACTGGTTGAATATTTGATTCTTCCAGAAGAAGATCACAAACGATGTCACAAAGTTTCTATTTTGATAAAAATTAAAATAATTAATCAATAAAATTGAAATTTTTTAATAAAAAAAAATAATAAACAGTTTTATATCATCTTACAATTTATATAGTAGTACTATTAATTTATTTTAAAAATTTTTTTTCACACAAGAAAAATTATGACTAATCTATCAACATTTTATCTAAAAGAAAACAGGAAACTAATTTATACTGCTTGAAATTAGATTACAAACTATAAATCCAGAACTTTATAATTGTTAATAAAGTAACATCCAACTTGAATTTAATTTTTTATATAAACATCTGAAAAGTATCAATACTGATTTGAATTTGTAATAGTAACTTCATAACACAATAGTCAATGACACCATTTTTTTTTTCATTCACCTTCTGTAATTATTGCAATTCATCTAGCAAAACTATTTTGTAAAATTTTGTATTATATAAGTTAAGAGATTTATTCATTAAATATTCTTGAAATTATATTATTTCATTAAATGCTGATTAAATTACATTTATTCAAAAATAACATTTTTATATTACATTTAAATTATTTTAATTTATTGAATTTGTAAGCTGGAACTAACATATAACTCAGAAAATTTACACTTTCCTCACACATTTCAGCAATAACTGTTTAAAAAACAAACATTTTGGGACAACTTACCCTGATGCAAGCTCCTGAATGTGGACAAAAATGCAGTTAGTTTATTAAGCAGTTAGTGCTGGAAAGTATAAATTTTTCTTTGCTATATCTTAAATTTATTTAATATATTTTTTTCATTTTTGACCCTCTGTAGACACCAAGAGGATCTTTTAATCATAGCCATCTTGAGTTTGGCTAGGCCCAAAGGGTTAGGGGGAGGAATGGAGCCCAAAATTTCCATGACAAATTGACACAAAAAATTCCAAGAAATTGTTTTGACTACCCAGATTCAATCCTCAGTCTCCCAGAATGTTAAACTGATGCTTCAACTACCTTAGCCATCTTTAACTATCTGCTTCTAGCCTCTTAATTCGGCTTTGGTTGCTTTAATTCTAAAAAACAGAAGACCAAATGCTACTTTCTTTTCCATTTTTTTAAAATGCTTTTATTTAACTTACTTTGTGTCATGTCCTCAAATCTTGCAACTCAAATTCTGTGTGTAAATGTATCATAATGATTTATGCGATGAGGATGTGCACCCCACCTCTCATCTTGAAAAACGTAACAGATAAAAGCATTCATTTTAAATCTTTTTAAAATATCAATATGTTAAAGTATTTAAGTTTCATATTAAAAATATGAAGTATACTACCTTTATATTAAAGTTTGAATGTTAGAGTGATAGATTAAGATGCAATGTATCACTCTAACCACACATGTACGAGGGGCTGTTTGAAAAGTTCGCGGCCTTGCCTATATGCGGCGCTGCGATCAATTTAATTTTTGGTGGGAATAATTCAGCCATCCTTGCTAAAGATACGATACCAATTTCCGCTTGATTTGTCAAAAAGTTTTGCCACGACAGCTTAGCAGATAGTCAATGTGCACATGCTTTGTCAAAAATGGAGAAGACGGAGACTCGTGCGGTCATAAAATACCTGACGAAAAAAGGGTTGACCGCATCTCAAATCAAAGCTGACATGGATGAAGTTTTGGGAGAGTCTGCTCCTTCGTACACCACTGTGAAAAAATGGACAGCCCTTTTTAAATCTGGCAGAGAGAGTGTGAAACATGACCCTCGCAGCGGACGGCCGTCAACTGCTGTCACTGAAAAAAATATCGACAAAGTTTACGATTTGGTGTTAGCAGATCGCCGTTTGAAAACGCGTGAGATAGCTGAGACAACAGGCATCTCTGTCGACCGAGTGCACCACATCTAACCGAAAATTTGGGTATGACGAAGGTCTCAGCAAGTTGGGTGCCGCATCTGCTGACCGCTGAGCAAAGACGTGTTCGCACTTTGATGTCAAAGAAGTGTTTGGACTTCTACAAGAAAAACCCACGGGATTTCTTGCGTCGGTTTGTGACTACTGACGAAACGTGGATCCATTACTACACTCCTGAAACAAAAGAACAGTCGAAGCAATGGAAACACCCCAGTTCGCCACCACCAAAGAAGGCAAAAACAGTTCCATCAGCGGGGAAAGTGATGGCCTCGGTTTTTTGGGGATGCTAAAGGAATCATCTTTATTGACTACCTAGAAAGAGGAAAGACCATCAATGCTGTCTATTACTGTATACTTTTGGAAAAACTGAAGAATGAAATCGAGGAGGCCACACTTGAAGAAGGTTCTGTTTCACCACGATAATGCCAGAATCACTGAACAAAAAATAAACGAACTTAGCTTCCAATTAGTTCCACATTCACTGTACTCACCTGATTTGGCCCCCAGTGACTTCCACCTTTTTCCAAATTTAAAATAATTCTTGGTTGGAAAGAGATTCCACTCAAATGACAAAGTCATCTCTGAAGTAAACGAGTATTTTGCACACCTTGACAAATCGACCTATTGTAATGGCATAAAAAAGCTAGAACATTGCTGGAATAAGTGCATTGCTAACAAAGGAGACTACATTGAAAAATAAAGAAAGTTTTAATATTATTTTGTTTGTTGTTCTATTTGAGGCCGCGAACTTTCTGAACAGCCCTCGTAATACAAACTGCCTGAAAGTTGCCTCCAACTTTTAAGCTGATTTTGTATTGAAATTTAAACATTTCGTTTGGTTCTGCATTCTACATATTTTATCTAAAGATGTCTGTTACAAATGAACAAAAATATTATTAATGTTACTATTAAGAATTAGTTTGTGCTGGTTTTGGGTGTTTGATTTTACTTAAAACAGTGAGCAAAAATAACAGATCTATCATTGTTAAATTGACAAAGTAAAAGCTCAACTACAAAGATTATCTTAAGTAAGGGTTTATCACACCAAGTGACCAATCTAACACATTTTAAAAATTCTTTATTCCTCTACTGTACACAATTTAAAGTACAGTAGAACCTCAATTATCCGGACTAATTGGGGATGAAGGTAGTCTGGATAAGGAAAAATTCGGATAATCAAAACAAATACTTTGTCCTTTAATGATAATACAACACGTTTTCTTTTCAATGACATATCGATAATATTAAAAGTAAATACTGTATTTAAACTGTGATCAAATTTTCAAGAAACAAACATTCGTATTGAATTTGGACTACTACTGACCAACGCTAACAGACTACCTATTGTTTAAAAGGCCATCTGGTAGCGCAAGAAGACGGATTTTATAAAATAAAAACCAGTTGAAACTGCATTTTTATGAATAAAAATTTGACAAACTATTTATCGTTTTATGACAAATAAAATTTTTGTGTTGCGTTCGCGGCTTTTAAGTAATGCATAAAACCTTCGAAACGCGAGGCCCTTCGGATCGCCAGGCATAGGCGGTGGCCCACGTTGTCCATGCCTTATGCTGCCCTTGGTCATAGAAGTGATGTAATTTGAATATAAATTATTTATAAATACGTATGTCAAGTTATATTTTTATCATGATGCAAAATATATTTAAGAGTTTACGGCCACTGTGCCAAGTGAGACATTGTAGAAACAAAAAAAGTTATGCATTCCATCACGTACATAAACAGTATCGTAATTTGCCAAGTGCAAATCAGCAAATTCATAAAATTTTTGTTTATTTTGAACAATCTGGATAATCGAAAATCCGGATAATAGAGGTCCAGATAATCGAGGTTCTACTGTATTTTTAAAATGTGTTAGCCTGGTCACTCAGTATGATAAACTCTTACGTAAGATAATCTTTGTAAATATAAATCAAATACTATAATATAGTAGAAGGATTAGAAATACAAAATAATCTAATAATCTTAATCTTTGCTGTTGTTATCTTTTGTTGTAGATGTGTTCAGGAATATTGCACCTTGAAATCATGCTCGTGTAACAGTAACATTTCATAGTGACGATGCCACCAGAAGAAGTCCAGAAATGTCACGTCATCAAAGCAAACCAAGATGGACAAGTTTTTTAACATATGAAGTGCTAATGATCATATGTACTTTGTTGCTTTTTGGATTATAATGTATACCGTTTCTGTCAGCTTTGTTCTAGCATAACGTATGATCTTGTAATATATGTGTTTATATAAAATATAATGAATAGAAATCTAAAAAGATTGAATAATTTCAAGTACAGGTGATTTTATGTAGGTGGTTTAAAAATGAAAAATTTTTTCAAATAATGGATATTTTTCTGGGATTGCAAGAAATCTGTTGTTTGCAATATAATGGATATTCATGATTTCCTATTCATGATTTCATGATATTCATAATAGATATTCATGATTTTCAGCATCCTAAACGATCCGTTAAAATGAGATTCTACTGTATAAAAAACAAAATTCAATACAGTAGAGCATCGATTATCCAAAACAATTCGGAACTGGGGTTCGGATAACTGATCACTTACAAAAAAATATATTAAACACAAAACTGTACTATATATATTTTGTATCACATCTTACAAATGCATACCTTATAGTAGTACTGTACATTAAAGTAAGCCTACAGTTTAGGTTTACAGGGAGAGGGAGAGTGCTGCAGTGCCACAGCACTAGCAAAAATTTGAATTTGCCAACTAGAATGCTTTCAGTTAACCAATGGTTTGGTTGATCAGTATTCGGATAATTGATGCTCTACTGAATATAAAAATTTTCAAAGTTACAATTTATATTTGTCTTCCTCAATATAGCAGGAATACCTTCACACAGAAATATTCAGATGGCAAAGAGTTCTGAATATTCCTATTCTCTTTGTGTAAGCTGGTTAAGCTTTCTTTAACCAGCTTAAATAATATTTATTCAAATTCCTAATCTCTAAGTATTTGTCACGTGTAATTTTCTAACAGTTACAATAACATCCTTCATATGTTTATAAATCTTATTAGCTTTACACACAAAGATAATTTTAAGTACAAACCTATTCTGAATGTCTCTCTTTACAATGATACTTGCCATAGATATGCCGCT